CATTGGAACGCCTCTATGAGTTACCACTCGCCCTGCCTTGGTATGCAAAGGCTTATCCGGCAAAAACACAAATGGTTGGCGTAACAAAAAACACACTTACATGACAACACTGAAGGGATAACGTGACCCTCCAGTTTCAAAGGATGAGGTTTATGAGGATTTCTGAACGCTCATTCTCATCCCTTTTGTTAAAAATAGAAGATCAGGGGCTTCCTGTTTTCTTTCATCTTTTATGTGTATGTGATCGGTCATTACTTCACTTTCATATGTCAAGGATAATTTGCCGTCATTGCAAATTCAAAGTACAGGAAGCTTCTTTTTCCACACTGCAGCGACGTGCATATGACATTGCAGTGTGATGGATGGTTGAGACTACATGATAAGATAGTATTTTAATGTACACCTTTAGATATTTTATGATATTGTGCTTGCTCTCCTCCTACTTAAGGTATTGGAGTTCTGCATTTCCCAGAATGCCTTCTGATAACCCCAGGAGAGTGGACAGGAACTATAGACTGTACGGCTGGAACTTATAAATAAGTTGATAAATATAATGTGAACGGAGGCGTCTCTGTGACTCCTTGTGGGATATATGGCTGCTGGCTCTTAATGAAATCAAAATGTTTGAGTGGATTTTTCTTTTACAGTATGACAAACTACCCGCCTGCAGAGCAAAGGGCACCGAAATGCATCATACTTCACATGAACTCTTCTTGTTCTGACTGATATTGTGGACAAAAGGGCAACATTTATAGTTTCCTTCCCACACTGTTGCATTGTCAGATAATGGTGGTGTGGTCTCCTTGTATCGTGGCTGCCAGCGGTGTGCACTGTGAAACCTTGTAAGCTGTGGTGCAATTCTGATTTGGATGTTAAAAAGGCTGCAAGCAGAGTAAAATCAAGAAATCTCAGCGAGCAGCCACAGCTGGGGTCTAATGAAGGTATCAAGCAGCAGAAAAAGAACACAGCCTCTTATTCAGATTCAGGTAATGTCTCTTTCCAATTAACAGAGTGCCAGAGTCATGATTCCCCACATTGACTTCCTGTCAGCAGAGGTCCTGCTCACTCCCACTGCAGACCCTGGTGTAGAATTTCACCTGATCGGTCACTTGGAAAGGCCCGGGCAGCTGTCAATCGATGGGGTGGGGGAGGGGGTCTGGCACCTCATTTGAAATCCTTATGCTAATTTTGTTGGACTGTGCAAGTTAGAACCGTTTTTCACACCCCTGCACGGGTGGTCTCAGAGGCCCATTAATCAAAACATGTCGGATAGTTTACAGGAGAGTTCATTAAAACCTGCAGATTTCAACTGGAGGAGGTGGTGAACGGATGGCTGCTAGATGATTGGTTAATGGTAGGTGGGATGCGATCTGATTGGTTGAACATAATTGGAAAATCCAATAGGCAGTTATCAGAACTGATATGATGTAAAAGGAAAAAACACTCAGTGGCCACTTTATTAGGTACTCCTGTAAAATCAAAACGCAATTCTACTATTACACAGATAATAATAGAGAAATGTGTTCATTTAACTGTTTATTATTGATGTAGACTGCAATATATTTAGAGGCATATTAAATGTTTCCCCCCCCCCCATCCTATTTACAAACACAAGGAGGGAGAATAGAGAACACATTGCAATAAAATGTATTCCAGTCCAGAACCACCACTAACTGTGACCTCGGTAACATATAAACACCTCTGGGACAGTTAAAAGGTAAAATATGTGGCAGGATGTTGTACTGTAATGCTTTAGAGGTGTACCTAATAATGTGGCCCAATCAGGCATTGGACCGATTAGCTGGTGTACAGCTTCTTCCTCAATGTCAGTATAAAATTCAGTGTCTCCACAATCAGTTAAAGAGGTGGTATTCCGCTCATTTTCGCGGGTCGTAAGAAACAAGGTAGTGTGATCCAAATCAAAGCCGCTTCAGACTGCGACCGTAACCTAGCAGATGGTATAAGTTACTCTCAAGTTCGCAGCATCATTGTTCCACATCTTACCATAAACTACTACAAAAATCACCATATTTCAACTCAATTTTACATAAAAGTTGGCCAAACAATTTGAACTTTTGCTCAGTAGCTTTCACATCAGGTGTAATATTAGCATTATAGTTATAACTTTAGCTGTGTTAGCCAACGTTTACAACTGAATGAAGCCGTCATTGAACAGAGGAGGGGGTCTACGCCACCACTTATCCCCCACTTACAATGCTGTCCTTTCATCACTTCCCAGGAAACTCAACAAACGTAACCTATTGGCCTCAGGTGAAGATACCAACGATGGTCGTTCAGTCTCGGCCACAGGTAGTCTTAACGACTGTAACGACTGTCGTCACAGCAACAAGGAACACTAACGAACCAGCGGTATCGATGACCCGCGCCAACGACCCCACTGAGGTTAAATAGCTGAGTTTCCCTGCCAGTCAGTCAGAACTGAAGAAGTCCTTTGGATGAGGGACGAAACGTCTTCCAGTAGCTTCAACCAAGTCCAGTTGCCCTTCATTTTAACCTTCGTTGGATAACTATGACCTGGATGACTGAGAATCTCCATAGACAACGTTTACAACAACTCCGCACTTCAACAGTCTGAAGTTACATTGCCGTGTTTATTGTAAATATAGTTTACAACCAATAAAGCATACTCACAGGTTGTGATTGTGGATTTCCAGGCCCAAACAGAGTTGTATCGTCTTTTAGGACTAAACGTTGAACTGCAAATCGATGGACTCGACTCTACTCGGCCCTGCTCCGTTTTCCATTGCAGGTAGTACCCAGAGATAGTACGTAGCTTGTCATCATAGCAACGCCACACACACACAACTTCCGCGACGTAATGTTCAATGCGATCCACACAGCTTTCTCTTTTTTAAGTTAAAACGTTTGAACATTCCTCAGAATGTAAAGACAGATGAGCGGTATGAAAAGCTTCCAGCTGTGTTTTCCTCTGCCGTTGTTGCTGCAGCGGTCTGTGTGACGGCGGGAGCAGAGGGCTCTGTGAGCGGGCGGCTGGCCGGCCTCACACGCTCCTCCCGCGGGTCACAGCAGGCTTCCCCCGCAGCCACTTGCGGAGCTCCTCAACTCCGAAAATATTCAAGCACATTTTTGTTCCGCCATCACTTCTCGTAAAACTGTCAATATTCGAAATCTAGACAGCTGATTTCTCACCTCAAAACTTCTCAGAAGTGGATTAAGTGGTAAAATAACGTATGAAAACTGTAAAACTTTCTGTTGCTGGCCTCTGTCTGGTGCAGTAATGATGATGCAATGATGATGCAGTGAATGGTGAATATTCTCTCTGACCAATCAGCAGTCTGTCGTGTTTTCATGTTACATTTTAGTATCACTCTGCTCACTTGGAACCTCGACGGAGGTGAGGAGATAAGAAACAAAGTACCTGGAAGCAGGTACAGGCGCAACATTTCTACAATGAAAACCAAACAAAGGCGAGTCGAGCCAAAGGGCCTCAGACTAGCTTGGTTTGAGGGCGTGCCTGAACCCCTAGCTGCTTGGCAAGCTTTATGACGCGTTTTCATTGTGACGTCACAAGTAAAGGAAGTGAAGGACTGGACTACAAACGAGCTGTTTTCAAGCGGTTCAGAGCAGAGCTTTCTGTGGGAGATGGGAACTCCCTTTGGGCTGGACTTTGGGCTTTTTCACTTTGCAAACCTGTTACATGCACAAACAAAGAGATATAACTCAATAATGGACAGGGGGAAAAGCCAAAAAGCAGAATACCACCTCTTTAAGCCACAGCAATCTCTGACATCATGTTTCCTAAAACACAACGACCCAAATGAGTTCCACACTGTGTGGAGAAAGATTTGGGAAAAAGAGAGCACCGGAATCTGGATTCATATCAGCAGATATCCTGCGTTGAGATATCAGGAGTGTGCACAAAAGGCAGTTTGGATGATTGAACTTTTACTTCCTTAAAATCACAAAAAATAACATGCAAATCTAGTAAAAACCTGATGTAGCACTTCATAAAAACGCAACACAACTGGCAAGTGCAGTACAAAACAAAAAGAGCATAGAAACGCATGTGGGGTTATACAGATGCAGAGAGCAGTCAGCAGGCAGAGTGTGCGGCAAGGACTGTCTAAAATGACTGTGTGCAGTAATAAATGCAAGAGGGGAGGGGTGAATGATGGGGAGACTCAGACAGACAGAGAGAGAGAATAATTGAACGGTGGATTATTGGCTAATGGCCCCTAAAGCACCAACTCTCATCTGAAAACATTTACTCTCATTATGCTGCAATATAATATTGGTAGATAAATCACTGCCGACCTGCTGTAGAGTCACCTGCACTGGCAATTACCACAGACCCAAGACATATTGTTCTTTGCACCTTTGCATCCATTTCACTTTGCTCTCTGTCATCCAGTTCCTGTATTTATTACATATCCACATCTGGTGCTACTACACAGCCTCTTATTTCAAGAATAGGCTCAACAAGCCTTTTAAATGGCCTCCCCCTCCTCAAACTCCACCATGGCGTGAGATCCCGGAGGCTTCAAGTACCACAGACCATTTTATAAACACACAAAGTCAGATTAGAAATGTTGACACAGCCTATAATAAAAATACTGTAAACTGCCATGTCACACACAAAAGGCCCACTGTTGAGTTCCTCATGTAGCACAGACAGATATCTCTAAGGGAATACTAAAATATTCTATGGCAATATTAGAGACACAGCAAAGACAAAACACCACGAAGTGCTATAAACTCCCCGCAGAGTTCCACATACGTCCCTTTAGAAGTATTACAGCGGAGGAAGACGGGATCTCATTACCACAGGGGGGCTTTATGGTAACTACAGCAGAATGAATCTCAAATGCCAAATTCATTATTTTGACCAGCTTACATTAGCGAGCATTAAACGTGGTGTATGGGATTGCTCAGGTCTGGTCCTGTGCAGAGGACATCCAGCGTCATTAGAACAAACACACATACACAAATTCACAGACAAACATCGTTGATCTACTCACCCACTCCTATTTTCTCGTCCTCCGTCGGCGTCCACATGATGTCCCGGTGCACAAAGAGCAAAATCCCCAAGAAAGTATAATCACCCGATGCGTCGCTTCATGGAAATCCTACGGAGGTGTCACCGGAGAGGGAGAGACGGAGGCGGAGGAGGAGGAGGAGGACCGGAGAGGAAAAGTTTGCTTCAATTGCTCTGGATGATGAGAAGGGAGGGGGAAAAAAAACAACAACTCTTCAGGTGACGAAGCTGAATAGAGTGAAGTTGTTTTTAATCGATGCGCAAATGATAAGTGGTTCATATCCCGTCAGGTTTGGAGTGACGCATGGCGCAATGTGTTTGTCCGTCTAGCCTACTGCGCGCGGGTAAAGTCCTCATGCAAAACACCAAAGGGGATTCTATAAAGATGCTTAACAGGCACCAGAGCGAAAGGGTTTCATTCTCTCTACAGGGATGGATATTACAAAGTACCGCGAGGTCAGGGCGATGGGCTGCCAGTCTGCTGCTGCACCACAAACACTGCAAATCCCCAAACGACTGGGGGGCTATGAGATAGTCCTAACAGACAGTGAAATCACAGTCCCTGTTTGATGACAACAGCAGACAAACTATAAGATGCTGTTATGTTATAAGAGCACTGAGAGCGCAGCACTTCAAGTCCATATTGGAAAAATCATAAAATCATTATTTCGTCAAGTTCAGCCCGGCCGCCTCTTGCCTTACAGGGACCCCCCTCTCAGTCAGTGCAGTATCTCTCTGCCTCTCCGGCTCCCGTTATGTTGTTTTCTTATTTATATGTGCGCATGCATATCTCCCGCTGTTTTGCCCGTTGCAGCTACCAAACTTGTTGTGAACAGATGAGGAAAAATAACAGTCCAGTGAGTCCCGCCTGTGTTCGGTGTCAGTATGAACGCACCGGGAGAGCCGTGCGCAGCCAGCAGCAACAGCAGGGAAGCCTTCATCAGTTTAAGAGGATCAGGCGGATGAAAAGCCTACAGATAGAGAGTGGGTTACATGGCCAAGAGAGGGAGATGATGTGCGTGCATGTGGGGCGGGGGAGGTGTTGGTCCGCTGCGCCACCCGATCATTAAAGGTCATCATTGGTGACATGACGCGCGTACAAAATTGCCACACAGGCTACAGTAGTTGATCTTGATCCTTCACTTACTGACCGGTCATGCGCGCTCGGACCCACTGGCGAATAGCCTGCACATACAGATAAACGCAGTCGCATGAACACACCTTGAGCATGTTTATTATAATGGAACTGCTCAACATGCAAAAAATACAAACACATAATAACACGTGATGCTCAACATATAAACACAAAAAACACACGTTGCACAAAAGTGCGCTAATCCAGCTCCACAGGCTCACACAACCTGACATGACTCATGAAAGCTGTCATCACCCCACAACATGACAACACACTGACATTAGTGTCGTGTTGTGAGTGAGACGTACAGATGTTTCTGTGCGCACGCGTGTCGATATTCTGCAAAGAAATGGCACCAGAAATAACTGTTGTGTGAATTGTGCCACCGTGTGTATATTCTTGGCCAACACACTATGAATAATCTTTCTGTTTGTTAAAGTTCTCTCTCACTGGTGGTGGAGAGTCTTCCTTTGATTTTTGTTTTTTTTTTATTGACAGTGACCCAATCATTGTTTTATCTGAGTGAAATATACTTGAAATTAATTCAGTTTGGCAACAGACAACAACTTTCTGCCTACTTAACCACGTTTATCCCAGTAAGTTAAATCTGAATAAAAGTTATATAGAGACAGATTTCTTAATTTATTTCCCTTTATTTCAAAATATGGTGACTACTTCAACTTAGTTCGATAGTTTTAACTAAGGCTGCGGTTATCTTACCTAGCCGTGCTACTCTGTGGGGCTTGAATGGTTTGAAATAACTGTTAGCAGCTGTTTAAAGCAGTCAGACAAGACAAATAACATCATACACATTGAGTTGGTGGACCAAATCAGAACACACTTAGCATTAAAAATGTAATGAATCTCAGACAGGAGAAACTAATGGATGCCCAGCTTTCATTTGCTGCATTAAAAATTAATATTTTTGTGGTTACTACTGTTGCTAGGCCACAGACAAGAGATCCTTGGTCCCTATATTAACAGTTTTTCACACAAAATGAGAACTGAGAAGAAAAACTGATGTGAAAAAAGGCTACTTTGTATATTTTTCATACTTCTTTTGAGTCAGAAACCTTCAACTTACCTTTTTCTCCCCACAGCAGACATTCTGATTTATCACAGCATGAAAAACACAGTAGGACTTTATGACATTAATTATGGCTCTGTTCCATTTAGGCCTGTGCGTGCCAGTAAGCCAACAGGCACAGAAACACAGACAAATGGAATGCAGCCGTTGTTAATTGAAGTAATTAAATTCACCTGTGCTTGTTTCTCAGACAAGAATTTAGGTTTCATTGTTCACAGGCTGAGCTATTTAAAGAGAAGACAACTTCTGTGCACAGCTGGTTTCAGAGAACCAGTCAGTCAATTCTGAAATATCAAACTATATTTACCTCCTGTAAGTATTTTTGTCTGTTTATCTTTGTTTCATAGTGTAAATCTATCATTTGGTGTGTTAAACTACCATGACTGATTCTCTATAAATGAGTTACCTCCTCAAAATTGGTAGAACTTTAAAAGTCTTTAAAACGTTTCTCTCTCTAGTTCTTTTATGATCTTAAGCTCCTGATGCATGCTGTAATTCCAGAGGCTGGTAATGCTGCTAATGAAGAGGTGTGATTGTTCCCAAACAAAAATGTGGCCTTTCAAACAACAGGTTATTAAAGTAATCATATTAAAGCCATTAAGTCAGAATTCCTGTGGTGGCGACTTCTTGATCCCAATGGGTTTTAATGTAAAAGAAAACCCATTGGGTCACTGAAGTGTCACTATCATGAGACAAGCCGGGAGAACAGTCTTTTATATTATTAAAGTAGAACTCATTAACTGAAAAATAGACGGTCTCATTATCCAAAATCAGATATATAGACAACACAATCTAATGGCGAACTGTAGATTCTACGGCTCTGAAAAGCTGCTGTGGCTTTAAATACTTTAGGTTGTAAATGACGATACAAACATGACATGTGCCCCAAAACTTGTGAAGTTTTGGATTTTAAAAACAAAGTTATATTTCTTTAATTCCTGACTTTTTGGAGTTGTGAAATTTTAATCCAACAGCAGCAATGTTGACTGGTTAACCACCAGAATGATCCTTAACAAAGACCAAAAAAACTAAAGGCTCCAAACAGACATGGACTCAACTCAGGCTCTGCAGCTTTGTGAAATCTTCTGCGGCTCGACTCTTTCAAAAACAATGTAAAGTTAATCTTAAAGATTCAAGAGGGTTTTAAAACAGGCACATACAAAAAATCCTTAGTATTCAGGAAAAGTAGGAAGGCAGTGCAGGACAGGCAGGAGGAAGAAATGAAACAGGAAAAAGGAGGAAGTAGCAGCACAGGGAGAAGAGTGAGTGTTGCTTGAGTGCGAAAGACCTTTCCAAAGAATAATAACTCAGACATTTTGACATTTCTTGCCGACAACAGAAACCCTGCAAGGCAATTCATCAAACCGAGGACAAGAAAAGAGTCTCTTAAACTCTCAGTATTCAGAAAAAGAAGCTCTAAAGCATTTTATAGGCTGTCGTCACTTGCGCAAAAACAGAATAAATAAGTTCTCATTCGCTGGGAGCTCAAGATCTAATTTCAAGCTTCATAGACATGTTAAGGAGAACAGTTGATTTAAAAATGCAGTGAAATGATTAAGGGCTTAAAAACACCACTGTTTGGCGGTGTTACAAAATCATGACAGCGGTTAAGCATGTCCAGTTTGGGACTTAATATTTAAAATTTCTCTGTATTTGTAAAAGTACTGTGACTTTTGATAAATGCTCTCTTTATAAGGTACCTGAGTTTGTCACATCAACATCTTGGTTAGATTTGAGCCATTGTGCTGGTGATTTAATGATTTATGGATGCTTCAGTTACGCACCTGTTAGGCCTCAAAGTGATTGTGACAAAATTAAACCCCACAGTAAGCTTGATTGAATCTCTTGGTATACAATAACAGAGCATGGCGCAGAAATTATGATTAATGTAAGCCTGTAAACACCAAGGAAAAAGACTACATTCAAGTTTTATCAGTACGACGACAACCTGAAGCCCATTTTGTACACTCTGAGCAGCATTTGCTAACCTCTTGTCATGCATCACTATATTGTTAAATCGCTCAGCTCATGTCTTTGCAATCACTAAGGTCAGTCTGGCACCAGCGACACGGATTGAACTATTCAATTCAGGTCCATCTTGCTTTCTAAGCACAGACGTTTTTATTAAACCTTTTAAGAGTCAATAGTTCTTCACTGAAACGCATGTAACAGAAGTGTTAACACTAACGTCTAACAGCAACTCTAAGGGATGAACTAAAATCCTTATACTATACTTTTGTGATATCAAAAAATAATGCATGACATCAACAATGTAATATATTTCTAATATAAAAACACATGAAACTACAGAAAATTGGCAGAAATGGAAACAAATAGAAAACTAGAGCAGCAGCAAACAAATTCTGCTGCTAAAAGACAAGAGCACATTGAGAAATAATAATAAAGACAATTTAGTACAGAACAGAGTGAGAAGTGATTCTATTTAAAGTCTTATAAAGTATTGCTAAGTCCCAAGAAATTTGATAAAACTTACAGGAAGGAAAAACTGCGTTAGCAGATATCTTGTATTAGTCACTGCTGTTTGAATGGAAAGGGAGTCCTTGGGGTGTGTGTCCTCTTTGTCCATCCCTCCCACACATCTTTCAACCACATAAAGGGTAAATGTGTAGGAAGAAGTACATGGAAAAAGGATTGTATAATACTATTTTATACTTGTGTACTCTTCATTGTGGGTTTGTTTCATGTCAGCATTATCTGCTGTACAGAGTAACATTTACCCAAACTAACACAATGAAATGCTGACCTCTAGTTACTGATTCATGTAACACACATTTAAGAGCCAAGCACAGATCACGGAGATGCTTCTAATTTCAACATTTTTGAATCAGCAGAGTTTACACAAGGCTGCCGTTTGACAGTATGTTTAGTTTAAATTTGACATTTTTATTCACTGTTAATTGTGACTTTGTGGAATATAAATTAAGTTTCTTAAATGGTGATTTGATTCAGGAGACTCAAAATGTCAGCACCCTTAATCTAATCCATTGATTCCAAACTACTGCAGAATTATTGTAAAAGACAACACACCCTCTGTACCCAAGGCTGTTCAGCTCCTAAACTTGTAAGTTTCCAACTAGAAAAAGTACCATGGAACGCCACCTGGAGTCGGATTTCCTACTTGTGAACGGGGGGGGAATATGTACCCCGACTTCACAAGTAGCAGTTGAATGATGTCCAACAATGGCGGCTCCCATGGAAGCACACATTGTAAATGGTACAATAAACTGAAAGGTACCATAAAGCATATTTGCACGTATTTAATTAAAAGTATAAATACTATCACATAGTAAAACCTGTTCTGTATGTAAATTGATGTAGAAATATGTTGCTTAGTAGCTGGTTACACTAAAATCATCTTCTCTGCACAAATGTTGTTCAGTAAAATGTAAAAACATTTAGGAAATATAATCTACAACATTTTCTGTCTTGAGGATTACCACTTGTTTTCATTAAAATGGATATAACTTTAATGAGTAATGGGCGTAGCCTACACTTGACAGTTTGGGTCAGCCATACATTTCATTCACTTACGATTTCACCCATCTGCTAAACGGAGGGCTGTACTGTGTCTTGAATTTATACACCCTACAACCCACCTATACAGTACATGAATTACTATGTTTGATAATGTGCTTATTTCATTTAGTCATGCTGCTTTGGACTATGGTGATAAATGTTTCTTTATTAGGCTATGTTTATTATGAAAGGTTTTTTAACTTGTACTAATTTATTGGTCTTGCAATTGCCCCATGGGGATAAATTGCGTTTTGAAATTAAAATAAACTTGGAAATTGAAACACTAGGTTTCATAGGTAAGCTCCTAACCTTTGTCCCTGAAGTATCACTATTATGAGACAAGGCAAGAGTTACAAGAGACTTTTATTATAAAAGAAACTCATTAACTGAACTATAGACTATAGTCTCTTTATCCCTTCAACAATTCAAACAGACTTATATACAGATTTGTGGGCAATACAATCTATTGGACAACTATAGATTCTATGGCTCTGAAAAGTACTGACTTTGACTTCAGGTTGAAATGCAAACATGAACACAACCATTCACAACCCAAACCTTGGGATCATTTTGAAAACAAAGTTTTATTTCTTAAACCCTCACTTTTTTTTTGTTAAGTTTTCATCTAACAGCAGTAATGATTGTTCTGGTTAACCACCAGAACAATCATTAATAGAGACAAAAATTAAATAAAAAAGCAAAGCACACCAAAAAGCTATGAACACAATCCACAATAGTTCAAACAGCGTTAAGTTGGTCTTAAAGTTTCCAACTTTGAGAATTTAAATCCTTTTGTGGGCTCAAATGCTCAATAACTAAATACTGGCTGTGTTGTTGTTGTTAACCCGTAATAATGACACACTAACAATCAAAGGTGGACTGTTTGAAACAGCTGATAATGAAATACCTGCTGGTTAAGGTCACATATCAAAATCGAACAGAATTGTGCATCTATAAAGGACAATGATACCCGATTCACCTTTTACTGTGTTTATTCCTTCAAGAGAGAGGTAATGTTTTAATAAGACAGAGACTGACATATAAAATGATAATGTAAGAAATTAAGTTTTCACATCTTACTGAGTTACTGCAAATATCAGTAACAAATGTTAACACCACATTTAAAGTGGTTTTAACACTGATACCTGAGTGTGTTCTTGCTTTCCACAAACTGTTGACACAGGAACTTACTGAGATCTCTGGAGGAATAAGATTTTTTTTTTTACCAAAAGAACATTAATAATTTAATGGATTTTCAGTCATCTGACAGACTCGACCTGCTTCCACATCCGTCTGCTTAGTGCTGCCAGTTTACCAAACAATGGGATGCCTGAAGGGAAAAGAGGCTAGAAGCATTAAATCAATAACAAAACGACTCCTTCCTTTTCTCCCGACACGTAAAAGCGCAACTCCTCCTACTAAAGATAAGCTAAAATAAATTTAATGAAATCAAAAAAAGTCAAAATAACTTAAATGAAACTCATTAGCCAACACACATAAAACACTGCCTCATCCAAGTTATCCTTGTAAAAATGTATTTTTTTTTGTTGGTTTAATTTGGGGGAGAAATTATTTACAGTGTTAGAAAAAGGGGCTCACAGAGACCCATGCACCAGTGCACTGGACTGAGAAATGTGCTTCGGAGGTTTGGTGGGAACAGGAACTCATCATAAGGGTTCATAAACTGATAAATTTTGAGACCCTACAAGACACAGAAGTTGGTATTTTAATTTCTGTATGTGGAAACAAAGAGGTATTTATTTCCCCCCCCAGGTAACCTCAGATCCATGTAAATCTTATTTACAATCACCTTTTTACGTCTGGTTGTTACATTCTATATGACTTCACGTTCTCAGAGTGTTAACTGTGCGTATGTTGGTATGCACGTTTTTATTTCTGTAAAGTGAGGAGAGCTAAATGTGCTTTTTCTGTGGCTCCACCTCGCTCTGCCTTTAAGGGAGTATTTGGCTTTTAGCTAACATTTGCTAAAACTAACATAGGTGTAAGATCTCACCTCCAGCACAGAGTCTAACCATTCATCCCAATTCATGGCTCTAAGTTTTGTGAATTTCAGATTAAACCAGAATGATTCCCCTCTGGGCAAAAAAACTACAAACTGTCAGCTCAATAGTGAGGCGACCAAATGTGACGGGAGCAACCTTCAGTCTTCCATTCTGCAGAGAGCCAAGTGAAACATCTTAAAAACTTTCAAAACTTGCACAAATACCCTCTTATTGAAATGAAGCAGGAAGCCAGGTCAAGTGATCTATGCCCTGTGATCTTTGGGAAATATTTATTTGTCACTTTATCACTATCGTCTCTCTAAAGTTTAGAATGAAGAGAGAGATTTTTCTGTTATCCTCCAGAACACCGATGTGCATACCGGTGTATTCAGTCAACGTTCCCGATTAAAGGAGAAATGATGCTTTAAAAGAAAGAGGAGGGGGAAGAGGAAAAAAAAAAAAAAGAGTCCTGGTTGAGGTTCACATTGTCTGCAGAGGAGCATCTTCTCCCAGGTCAGGAGAACCATCTCTCGCTGATGGCCTGAATCAACCGAGATTCATCATCTGAGCCTTCTGGGTAGTCTGCAGCATGAGGACACCCACAACATATGAACATTTACTTTGTGTAATAAAACTCTATTTGCCTGTGAATTACAGTAAAAATAAATAATTTCCAACAATAAACATAAAATGAAGGACAAAGCTACAGGTGTATTTGTTTTAGGACAATGTGACAGCAGCCTTCACGTGCTTCTGATTTAGAGCTGCAACTAATAATTATGTTTATTATCGATTAGTCTGCAAATCATGTTTCTCAATTAATCATTTAGTATGGATGTAGTTTAGTATTTGAATTTGTGCCTCCGCAGAGCACAAAGTAGCATCTTTAAATGGACGGACTCCGGTGTTGTCGGAGAATTACTAAGCTTTTCTATTAAAACACGAGAGGCGTCACTTGGTTTTATTTTTGTTGGCCAACTTTTGAATTGAACCTCAAACTGAGTCTTTTTTGTTTGCTTCTTGGGATATGGAAAGATGGACTATGATATTACATCATATTATTTAATGCCATGACTTCACTCAAATTATCTTTCTCTTATTATTAAAATTTGATACTCCTTCCCCACCATTGGCTCATAATAATAATTCATGCATCAGGCCCTGACCCACAAGAAAGATTGATGGAATTAGATTATTTTCTAAAATCATTCAGCCCTAGCTTAAACATGTGAAGCTGAAGCACCCCGAACGCTTTGTCATGGTGGCGGCATATAACAGCGCCGTGTTAACGTCTCCACACAAGCCTGATATATCAGGATAACACAAGGAACGTGTTTCTGTTAGCAGAGGACACTTAAAATAGATGTTTTTTCATTACCTACATGTAATTTCTGAACCGCTGCTGTCATGGTACAGTAAACGTTACACCATGCGTCACCTAATAATTTCTGTTTATTTAACGGCTCAAACTAACGTTACAGACCCCACACCGATGCTAAAACACATTTGACATGACTATTTTACTTTTACTTTTCATATTAGCCACTCGTTTGATGAAATAAATCCACGTCTGAAACATTTTAAGTTTTAAGTACTTCAGTAAAAATACCTCGCTGGAAAGTTTGACATACAGTGATTACAGTATTCTGTGTGTCAAAACAATCGTTTGGAATTTCAGGTCCAGTGTTTTTTGATCTGGCAGATGACGCATTGAATCTTTTATTATCATCATCATCATCAATAATAACAATAATACACAGCAATGATAAAATATGCCACTACGAGCATTATTCTAATTAGCTTTATGTGTCCTTTTTTTTACGTAATGATTGAATAAAATATTGAATTATTAATGAGACAAGTATTTTATATTTATTTTGGATAAATTTATTGTAATATTAGTCGAGTAACGGAAAAAAAAATCCTAAATAAATTACACATTAAATAGAACCTATAGTTTTTGATTGATTTGAAAAATAATCGTATGGTGCAGCCTTAATTCAAGTATTAAATTAGTTGTAGATTTTGTTGTTTTTCTTCAGATAAACAAATCGATTAAATCGACTGATCTTTGCAGCTCTTCTTCGATTGTGGTCAGTCGAACTCTGGTGTGAACTAAAGACAAAAAAAAGGACTGTTTGATTGCGTCTTTGTTTTCTTGTTCCGGACCAAATGAACCGAGCCGCAGGTGTGAAAGCGACCTCACACTCACCGATCACCGAACCAAACAGGTTCGAGAACGTTTTCTAAAAACAGGTTGAGCCGATCAACCAGCGCTGATGCTTACAATTTGAGTTTTCAGGGTCAAAGGTGTCAGATCCGTCATCGCTTCTGTATGAATGGTCCGACTCTTCCGATTCATCATCATCATCATCATCGCTGTTGTCATCGTCGCTGTTGCTGCCGAGAAGATCTGCAATCTGGGGGGGAAGAGTTTGAAACGCACTGTCAACATCAGGACACAGAGCCGTGTAAACTTAATATATGCTGTATCTGTACCATCTATTCAGGGTTCCTACACATTTTCTACCTCTTCATCTGTGGGAGAGGTTGGTCCGCCCCCGTCTTCCGCGTCGTCGTTATTGGCGAGCTCCTCTATGAGCGGGTCTGTGTCCATATCGTCGTCGTCGTCGTCTTCGTCGTCATCAGAGTCTGACGTATCATCGTCGTCTTGGTCTTCATCCTGGAGCGGCATAACACGAATTAAAAACAAAACATCAACCAAATCACTGTTATCCAGACTCGTGTTTCACAAAAAGAGTGACGAGCCGCACGATTCTTTATTGAGATGATTCATTTCACTTCGTTTTGATTTGTAGTAACACTAATTCAAGGAACACAGTTCTGCGCCTATAAGCATATAATATAATAATTAACAGGGATGTCCTGATCCGACCTCAAAGATCGGGATTGGGGGCCAATCACGGCATTTTTAAACTGAAAAAATAAAACGTCTTGCTCTGAGATGGTCTATGTGAACACCACCACCATGTTCAGTTCTGCATGTCTCACCTGATCGTCGTCGTCTCCCTCTTCTGCCAGTTTCTGCCGTCCCACCTCGTACAGGCGACACACCGTGTCCAAGCTCACCGTGTCCTGGTTCTGCAGAGTAAACGTGTCAAAGACAAATTCAACGTTGGCGTATCTGCAGTTTTAAGGATGCTTCCAGTAAGATTTATTTCTTATTAAAGAGGTCATATTATGTTAGTCCAGCCCAAAGGGAGTTCCCATCTCCCACAGAAAACACTGAACTGCCTGAAAACAGCTCGTTTGTAGTCCAGCCGTTTCCCTTTGATCACTGTGAGGACACAGCAAAATGTGCGTCATAATGCACAGCTCTCCTCTCCCTTCCAAACACTAGCTACCCTCCAGGCAGTCAGTGGACATAAAGTTGTTCCTGTGATGTAGAGACAGAGCTCAGTTAAAACTTTATGGATGAAAAATACTTTTGTTCCAGATTAATAACTCACCGCTCTGAAACTCTCGCTCCAGTCCATGTTGCCAAGCTGGTCGGCAACACGTACAGCTGAACTGAAGTCGTGTTTTCCTCCCTACTCTGCTTCTGATTGGCTAGTAGTCCTTAACTAGGAACTGCGCATGTGCAACGCCCAACAAACTTACAAGATGTATCACTCCATAGCTAAGACAAAGCCTTCAACACAGGGTAAAAAGAGGAGCTGCAGCAATGTGCAGTATGACAAAAAATGTGGTGTTTTTTGAATATTAAACCCTGTAAACCTGTTCTGGTACAACCACTAAATAAGATTTTGAACCTGAAAATGAGCATAATACCACCTCTTTAGAATAAAACTAGATAAAAAAATAAAAACTTGGAAAACTTCTTATTTTTATGAAAATAAATAATCAACACAATTGTAAATATCAAGCAATTTGTTTGATTCATTGATCAGATAGCAACTCTTTTGATAACTGGTTAGTCATTAGTCACTTTTAAAAATAGCAAACATTCCAACATAATTCTAGCTTCTTACTTGTGAGGATTTACTGCTTTTCCCTGTCTTCTGTGATCGTACAGTGAATTTCTTTGACACTTTTTTTAATGAATAATTAATTATTGACAAACCAAGACAACAGAAAATCTATTGTTTTGGCCAAAGTACAGCAAATGAGATGCTTTTTTCCCCTCAACCCGGTCTGTTTTATCTGACGAAGCAACTTGTACGCCCACAACTTTTTAAAATGTCAGGAAGGCCTCAAGTAAAGTGCAGGACTTTCACTAAAAATATGTACTGTGGACATGCTGACTTGGTGCAGTGTATTGTTACATTCTGTCTTTGTGCTGCTGGGATCAAAGCCAGAGTGTTTTATTTACTGATGCTTTAAAAAAAACACTGATAATTCAAGTCTGGAGACGCAGTGAAACGACGTCATTAAACAGTTCTACTGGAGGTCCTCTATTCTTGACTAATAATCTTTTCGCAGGTTTAATTAAAGAATTTAATGTCTTGAACTTGATGCCGGAGCCAAAGTCAGCTTGGTTTGATTAGAAATGCTTTACTGGTGTTAAACAAATGGCTCTGCTGGACTTCCATGACAGCATCAGAACATGATCACTGTTCAGGGTCACTTACGAGAAAACACGAACTCTGGTGAGATGGAGGCTAAAATTCAAGCCAAGTACCTCAATGACAGCCAGGTAGCAGTCTTTAGTGTCGGTACACAGGTCAAAGATGTTCCTCTTTACATCCACTGTGGCTGAAATACAAACAAAAACAACTTCTGAGTTATAAACTCAAGTCAAGATGAAATAAAACAGAAGATACAAAATCGGCTGAGGCTTGTGGTTAAAGGGAGACGGCTGGTAGGTTACTCACCAACACTTTAAAATCCTACACACAATATTTGTGGTTTCTGTTTAAATAAATAGAAATCTAGTGAGGTACCACATGTACCTCCTTGAGAGCCTAGAAACATTTCAGAGTTGCTGTTAAAATGATGCGCTGTAGTCGACAGGAAGTGCAGCCTACCGATGGGCTTGTAGTCAGTAGCATCAAAGGTTCTGAAGGACGAGCCGAAGGGACTCTTCATCTGCTGGTCCATAGCATCGTCCTCATCATCGGCTTGCAGCATCGCTGTAAATATCCATGTTTGTAGGAGGGGAAATAGATTGTAACATGCAACAACACTGCGAGATGATTCATTAAAGATGCCCGTCGGTCACTGTGTCCGCAATAAGTGAGACACACATGCAGCTCTAGCAGTCTCTCTCTCTCTCTCTCTCTCTCTCTCTCTCTCTCTCTCTCTCTCACAAACAGCCTTTACCTCCATACATAATGGTGGCGTTGCGGTTGAAGACCACCCTGCACTGGTCCAGAGCAGGGACAGTGTGCAGGAGGTGGAAGGTCCTCATGTCCCACTGACACCTGCTGTCAAGGCTGATAACTTACAGCCAACACAGAACGGTACAGATACACATCCGGGGGATCTGCTGGCTACAGCTAGCTGACTGGCCGTGCTCCCTGCACCTCTTTATGCTTCTTTAACTATTAAACTTGAAACTGAAAAAAATCATTATTCATCCGGCGATGCACGTTTTGGTTCTGTTATACGTCTGTTTTTTTTTTTTTTTTTTTTTTAGATGTTGTGTGTAATACAAACTGCCTTTGCAAACAATATCCTTCACATTCAAATTAAATTATGCCTAACACGTGTAAACAGCGCAATAAATATTAGTTCAAAGTTCAGTATAACACATTAAACCCATAACACACAACAACATGCAACACTGTGTTTATAACTTATTAAACAACCAACATAAACCCAACGAGGTTTAGAGCTGCTGGGAGGTCAGTTTGTTACCTTTGGACTGAGTCAGGCTGTTTCCCCGTTTCCAGTCTTTATGTTAAGCTAAGCTACTTGGCTGCTGGCCGTGACTTTATATTTATATATTATCTTCTCAACTCTCAGCAAAAAAGCAAATCACCACAAAATGTCAAACTATCCCTTTAAATGTAGATTTAATTTCAACAATTAAGCATAAAGGCATCACAAGACAGAACAGACTATCTGTATCAGCAAGGATTATTTTCAAAAAGTAAATAACGCAAATGTCTCAGTTTACAGAAGGATACAATCTCCGTGTTGACGATGACCTCCAGGCCGTTTGGATGGAAGACCCCGCTGATGTTCATGTTGAACTTGTCGAACTTATGGATGGCCCGTGCTGCCCGCACGTCCCACAGCACCCCGTCGTTCAGCACCAGGTCGTCGCTGGGGTTGAAGGTGGCACAGTTCCTCTTGTAGTTGTTGGCCAGGGCGACGTCGTTCAGGGTCAGAGTCTTCTGACCCGTCTGGATGTCGTAGATCTGCAGCAAGGAGAAACGATAAGTAAAATGTTGAATGGGAGCTTTGAGTGAATCTTTTCTGACTGGCCTGGATGCCGTTAGTGAAATAGGTCAATTTGGAGGTAAAGAAGAAGTTACAGAAGATGTCCGCTGGTTACGAACGGGAAATACTGAGATGCTAGACAGCAGTGAAGTGAAGGAAAAAACAGGACGTTCAGTGGTACTGACTCGTGACAGAACATTTCAGGTAACGTACGTGTGCGACTTGGTCCTTGGTGCCGATGACCCTGTCCTGAGAGTGTTTACTGAACTCGACGTAGTGATCGTCTTCAAAAGACTTCCTGGGGGAGAGAGAGAGAGAGCAAACAGCAACATCAAACACCACAGACAAATGATGGACTCTTTGATGGTGCGTGAAAGTTAAAACTGAACGTGTGTGCGTGTGAGAGTGAGTTACTTCATGCTAAAGACACCATCCATACTCCAGAGAGCAGATAAGGGGACACTCCAAGAAGCAGAGGTGAGCAGCAATTTCCCATCCTGAGAAACATAAAGTGAAATTTGCGTGAGTCTCGTGCTCAATGCAGAGAGTTGAAGAAGCTGGAGATGTTTTCACACCCCTAATAATAAAAAAAATGTTTTCCCTTTCTAGTGAACCATTTAGTGTGATAACCATTTTATTAATGAGCAGAAACAAAAGTGTGACCTCAGGTTGTAAATAATTAAACCTGCAATAAGAAGTCATAAAGACAACCTATCATGACTTGTTAGCAAACAGTTTCCACATGCAGCAGATACTGAGCAACATCATCACTCATGTGGAGTCGGGTTTGTGTCACCTGATGAATCTAAGTTCAGTATTCTCTCCGTTAGCTCTGCGTTTGCTCTCCACCAGCTCCTACGGGAAATATCTGCGCCTCGAGCTGCTAAATGCTCGTATATGTTCCCCGGCTCGTCTCTAACTGTGTCTGTCTGCTGTTTGCCGCTGAGCAGGAAGTGTACAGTGGGTTTCTTGAGCCTTTTATCTGAAAATGACGCTATGAGAGCGCCGAGAGTGAACCAGAACAGTGCAGTCGCATCTGGACAGACAAAAAAATGAGCTGAAACTCCATAAAGCTCTGGGAAGCTGCAGATTCAGCTGATAATTCTCAGTAGGTTCATCACTATAACACCTAAAGCCCACTGAATCCGCCTGCGCCGCGACTGCTGGAGCTAATCGTGGCCATTCAAGTCCACTAAACGCAGCAGCAGCGCGTCCCAGAAGCGGCTCTCCAGTCCGCTCAGCAAAGAATAGGTAAGCAGGTCTATTTTTGACATATTTGCAGCACAGAGCAGATCGTACCGGGCAGGAAGTCAAGACACATAACGGCACAGAGAATCTGGTCAATTTTCACAATAAAACTCCCTGTGGACTCCCGATCGCAAAACAACAATAAACATGGTTAAAATAGACACGAAGAAATCATTTAACTATGTAGCCTACTTAATCATAGTAGAAGACGAAAACACTGACAACCAAATCAACAAAATCTAAACAAAATCAGGCAAAATGCTCCCTGTGGGATCTGCAGCCTGAAGCTGATGGAACGAAACGGGGTAACAGAGAGCTGGGAAGAAGCTAGTAGAAGCACAAAACGGACAAATGAATAACAAGCCAATAGCGTGAGAGGCAGGCCGCACGCTCTGCTGCTGAAACGCTGTCAGTGGAGGCCGAGGCCCGGCTCAGGATGGAACAAAACCGTCGCAGCAGTAACCGGAGTCAGTGGACTTTCGGCGTGAGTGACACCTTTCACGTTGTCACTTAAATTGTTTATAAAATATAAATTATACACACTTCAATAACACAGAAGACGCCATTCATAAGTGGAGCTTTGTTATTTCTTAATTCTTAATCTTGGAATTGGTCGTTTTATTCAATGACTCCACTGCGTTATTTAATCAGCTTTCAGCCTGTCGACAAACATGTCAGCAGGTGCGAACGTACCCTGGAGGGTTCGAGGTGCGTGATGGCCGACGTGTGGCAGGTGTAGTGGGCCTCTTCCTCTCCAGAGAAGACGTTATAGAATTTGAGGTGACCGGAGCACGTTCCCAGCATGAGGAAACGCTCGCGGGCTGAGAAGGCACAACAGGTGAAACCGCTCTCGTCTCCGTCGCCCTCGTGGAAGACTGACATCGGACGAAACCTAAATGGAGACAAAAATAATAATAATATGGAGGGGAGACAAGACACAAAGTACAGGTAGATAAATGATAAACAGGATTATGTGTAGTTTCTCAGATTCATTTTAGCTTTAAATAACTGAAAGATTATGAACAAATGCCCCAAAAACCAGCGTGCGCCAAGTCTTTTACTCCACAGGTGAAGTGTCTGTTCATTACCTGCTAAATATCAGATGTCTATCCAGACACCCTCGGTCCACGCCTCCATATTTCGGGTACAGCACCCTGCTCCCCAAGCGGGCAGTGAAGTTGGGCGATGCCTGTCGTCTCTGCTTGGGCTCAGGACAGCGGTGGGGGGTGAAAAGGGAAAACGGGGGGCAGGTGGTGACAGGATTGGGGCAGCGGGCGTGTTGTTCCCTCAGGTACTCGGTGATGATGCTGTCCAGGCTCGGGGGGGAAGGAAGGTGGCGCTCCAGCTGCTTCTTCATGGCCGGAGTCTGATCGAGACAGAAAAAAAAAAAAATGTTCCTAAGTTGTTGAGTCCGAGCCAAACTACGCATGTCCCCGTATCCAGGCATTTCTGTATGGATCAGCGGAGCGTAAGTGCCTCACTGCGTTCTGTTATGACGGTTTCTAACAAACGAAGCAAATACAACACTTGCCGATACATTGTAATGTTATAATGTTGATATTCCGTGTTACTGACCTGTATGAAAGCACCGTGGTCAGACTTCTGTTTCAGTGCGCGGAGCTTTTTCCCCGAGCTGCAGTGGGCCACCGGGCGTTCCCGTGTGAATAAAATCCGTCCAACCAGTGGCGAGCCCTGCCCATGAGATGTGGGATGAGGAGCCGCGGGAGACGGGGCAATGGCAGAGGTAGAAGGCGTGGTGCATGAAGGGGGAGGATTGACGAGGGAACGAGAGGAAGCGGGAGTGCAGGAGGACGCTACGGGAACTGAGGACACAGGGGAGGATCCGACATGGCCGGCGACGCGAGCTGCGATCCCGCCAGCTATCCGGCAAGTTCTGGGAATCCCTGAGGAGGACGGTGGAGGGGTGGCACAGGAGGAAGAGTTCGGACAGAAGGACCCTATGGGTAAATTTGCCTCTTTAACGAGCGTGCTCGCCGTCTCATTGAGCCCTTTAGCCACAAGATGGTTTCTGATCAGCACGAGGAGTTCCTTCTCAGAAAAGGTGATCCGTGACTGGGCAACAACATTAGCCCTCTGCAGACGAGCCAATGAGACGTCGGTACCCATGAGGAGAGGCTTGCCGGACACTCGCTCTGTCAGCTCGGCGGCGTATCGGCAGAAACGGACGTGCTCGCTCCGTTTGTCCTGCAGCACCGGCTCCTTCATCAGCTAGGGAGGTAAACAGAACAACAACACGTGAGTATTGTGGATGATAAGGGGCCGTGTTTCTAGGTGTGATGTTGGTTACATCCGATCATTACTGCTTTCTGAAAAGCATCCACCTTACAGTCAAGCTGTAATTTTCAACATGCAACGTGATGTTCTGCATGGTGTTTGTTATTCATCAGGAAAATGTTTGAGTTCTGATCTTGTGCTCACTTGCTGAATGTGGCTGCTGGTGAAGAGCGGCAGTTTGCTGATGATTTGTCTGATAGCGGAGCTGCGAGAGAGTCCGACCAGAGCTTTGCAGGCCAGAGCACGGATCAGGTCCGCGTCTGTGATGGGCGTCTTCACCGACAGCAGAGACAGAAGCACCTGAGGGAGACAGATATGGGAGTGTGGGGACTTTCCTTTTCACACCAAGTTTATACTGTTGCACAAAAAGCACATGTGGCAGATGAGGCAGATGTTTTCAAAAGTGCATTTCTCTCTGCTTCATGTACATTTTCTCGTGAAATATTACAAAAGCCAACTACTGCTCTGCAATAACATAAACAAAATCACAACTCTCCTTTCATTCTTACCTTTATACCGTTGTTGTTCTGCACTTCTTGCCACATGTGGGCCAGCACTCTGTTGTGGGGAGCTGGGGGCTGCTGGGGGTGGAGGGACGGCCTATGGGGGGTGACAGCAAAAGCACCCACAGTGTTCAGGCTCTGGTCTGGGGCGCACACACAGTTATTGATCACCTGGGGTTGGACAGGGAGAAGATGGGGGTTGGTGTGGAGTTCAGGTCGGGTAGAGAGGAAACCCAGAAAGAATTTGGATTAAACAAAGCAATAATCGCCATTCTGTGTTTCTCTTTAATAGCTTTATTTGAAAAATAATATATATATCAGTTTATCAGAAAGATACTGGTTTAGAGTGAAACCATGAAGCGGTGTTATAGCGGATTCTGTTTACAATTTCCAGAGAAAGAAATCTTAATCATTTGTATGAATGTGTCAGCTAAGTTCACCATCCACAATATGCAGAGTCTAAAGCCATTCTAGCTATAACTACACTAACCTGTTGAGGTTTAATTTTGACCATGATCATTATCACTTAGTGTGTTAGCAGACACATGTTTGGTTTTTAGCACTTAAGTACAGCTGATGTGAATTGAACTGTTGGACACATTTTTTTTTTTTTTTTTTTTTTAAATGACCCGATGAAAAGTCATAGGAGTGATCTGAATAGAGGTGAACGTGAATCGGTGCGTTCGAGATGACTGCGGCTGACTTTTGTCAAGTCGGACGCATTCTACTTGCGTGAGCTTACTGTGAGCTTAGACCAATGACTGACCTCGCGTTAATTGCTAAAAAAATATTGCCACAAGACCAGGCAAAAGGCGTTTCCAACCTTGTGCAGTCGGAGAAAAGCAACTGCGGCCACCAGACTCAGAGCCTGCAGCTGCCTTGCTCCCACGAGGTTTTAATGTCATGTGACATGTTGATATTTTGCAGCGCCGGCGAAAGTCGGACACAATTTCTAACGCAGCGTCGCATGATATCAAACGCACCTAATGTTTGCACAAAATGTCATCCTTCCAATTGGTGTCATGTTACCAAAAAACAAAAACCTTAACCTGTTGGTGGCGCTAAAGGAAAATTTAAGACTTTGATGAGCCGTCAAAGTAGGATTCATTCTCTGGAAACCACAGATGTCAACAAAATGTCATGAGAATAGTGGCAAAGATCAGTCAGGAACCAAAGTGTTGGACATAACGATGGACCAACATTGCAATGCCACAAGTCAGTCACTGATTAAAGCCATCTGCTTACTTGTAGCGCAGACTTCTGGATCTCGGCATCATTGACAAACACCTCTCCTTCTGCTACACCCAGAATGATGCTCATACCTGCAGCAGATATAAGAGACACACTGATGCACATCCAGGACGAAAGAAAAACGTTTCAGTTAAGCAGAACTGAGAGTGAAAAGAGAGAGTTCTACAGACCCACAGTGGATACGGGCGACCTGGTTTCATCCAGAACAATAACAGTGTCTGCCAGCACCAACTGGACTTTAGGAACCACCATGAGGATGGCCAGGATGTCCAAGGCATAACGCACTGTGTCGCTCCTGCACAGACAGATACAAAGCGAGAAGATAGAAAGTGCAGTTAATTATCAATGTTTTAAATGTGTAAACATATACTGACACAGACGGACAAAAGTAAACACCCCACTGAAAACTATGATTGTTTACATGCAGTGAACAGAGGAATTACAGAAGTCCTGTATTTGTTTGACCTAAAGATGATGTCATTAACTACTAAGAGTACACTTTACCTGCCATAGTAAGTCTTCCAGTCACAGGCTGCAGATATGAGCTGCAGCATTAAAGGGACACAGGACAATTTGTAGAAAACCTCTACTGGTTCCCAGTAGAGCTGAGGAGGTCCACACTCAATGAGAAACTCCATCATCTCAATAACCTGCTCTCTGGTGTACGTGTATGCCTGGAAACACACACACACGGTATAAACAAAATAATTTTCCTTCCTTCCTAATGTCTAAACAGTCAAATAGCTTTGGGAACCCTTTGCCCGACCATTTTTGTAAGTAAGTTTGAACTTCTCTCTCAAACACTTTTCTGATTCTTGACACAAATATTTCTGTCTATTCTGTCACTTTTCATGAGTAAAACCGAGCGCAACATTATGTATGTCTGAACACCGGTATGCCCATATTTAAATAATATTGGGTGTCACCCCCCCCCCCCCCTGTGACCGCATGTTTTTGACTCCGCCTTCGGGTGCAGCCGGGTTCAGAACAACTATACAAAACACTTGGTACAAAGATGTGGTCGAGCATAACGCGATTGTTACTAAAAAGCAGATATACACTGTGTTAGCTGTTTATTTTATTTTTTTTAAATCAGTACATGGTCAATATTGTCAATTGCAATTCTACTGCATGGTGTAAAAAGTAATTCAAAAACAAAGACTTACTTCTAGTATCTGAAAAGGACACTATACAAACATGATGACGATGATGATAGATACACCAAATACCTTGTAAAACGGCTGCTGGGGAACAACGGTGCCTCCGTCTGGGGAGTGCAGCGACTGTTTGACCTGTTCAGCCTTTACTGCCAAGTGAGCCTCAAAGTACCTGAACAAAGTCATCAAAGTTATCAATTCACGCTGCATTTTACATTACACACCTGTCAAAACACTGCTGCTTAGAAATGTTAACAGCTGCGGGTTCAATCAGTAGCTAAAGGTGTGTAAGTAGGCAGAGTCTGCAGGTTGTGACGACGTTTAAACCCTTTTACATCAGCATGAAGTAAATGAAAGACTAACTGAACAGTTAAATTAACGTGAAAATGAAAACACTACAGGCATACAAGTGTTACCTTTCGATAAACATTTAAAATGGCAAAAAATAAGGACAACTGGCCTCTTCACCTCAAGTTGCGATGCATGTGTTTGTTTTCAGTGACCACCTGTTCCATAAATTTTACAGTTCTACCCGTTCTACCCGTCTATCAGTCCACCCAACCCCTGTAGTACCTGCGCAGGGCCATGCAGGTATGTTTGGCTGTCTGTCGGCTGGAGAAGACCTGGTCGTCATTCATTACGGACACCTCGTTCTCTATGTTGAGGATCTCTAAAGTACTGACCTACAGGAAGAGAATGCCAGACCAGATTAATGACAAAACATTGATTTGACAGTAATACACTCATATTTAAATGCAATTTGCTCCACATTTAAAGCACTATGGTAATAAATTCTGAAAAATTTCATACTGACCAAATTGACCAGCCTGCGCAGGCCGTCCTGTTGGTCAAAGAGCTGCAGCACCGCTCGGAAGGAGAAGGAAATAGAGAAAAACATGGTGGCGTGGCAGACGCCCGAAGCGTGGGACGACTCCAACAGCCAGAGAGCGTACGACACCATATCTGACAGCACGCCGTCTGCGAGTGTGCACACCTGCGCACAGACACACACAAATTAAAGATAAAGAACAAGGAGACAACGGCTCAGTCTCATTCTAGCCACTGCACTCTAGTTTGTTCACTCTGCCTCAATTTGTGCTTTCAGATCAGAGTTTATATAATTTATTTATTTGGATGTGTTCCTAAATCGCAATACTCCACACAGCCTCTACCTAAAATTAAATTCTAAACACTATCTAAAGCCTGTTTAAGAGCTATAAAACCTTTACTATTATATAGAATGGATAAAATCAAATAAACCTTGTGTATATTTACCCAACTGCTGTTTTTTTGCTTGATAAATGTGTGTGTGTGTGTGTGTGTGTGTTTACCGTACCCTCTCCATAGCGTCTTGATTGTACGCCAGGTAGTACAAGCAGAGTGAAACCCCAGTTGCCGCCATGGAAGGCCTCGGGATCTCCAGAAGTTTCTGAACTCCTCCGTGCGTGATGAACTCCGCTGCAAACTTCTTGTGGAGGAGCAGCGAGGCGAGATACTGACGAGAGAAGGAAGAGATGCTCGGACTCCAGTGAGGAAAACACAAATACATTTATTAGCGATAACCCGTAAATGTGTCTGACTGCAACATGCGTCTTTGTAAAGAGAGAAACGGACAGAAAAAGTCTCTGCCTGTCAACAGTTCAAACCACACTCATCGGGACCGAATGTGTTTGCTTTGAAAAATCCACATGAATGAGTGATCCGATTTTAAACTGAACACTGAACGGAAAAACGATCAGTTTGGCTTTTACAGGGGCTGTTGCAAGGGTTAAAGAATGCATCCCTCAAGGGCTTTAGCGTCCTCAAATTTCTGTTTACTTGCAGTTAATGAGCATCGTCCATTCTTTATCTAGATAGAGCTTCCCTTAGCAGACATTCTGCATTTATAAGACCTTTTTTTAATACCACGTAGAATTAAACCTTTCTTTTGGTCATACCTAGGGATGGGGATTGTTAATTTTTATTGATACTCTTACGGAGACCGCTTAATGATCCGATTCTTCATCAATACCACTATCGACACTTTACTATTATTTGGTGACGGTTATGAGGTAGGCCTGCACGGTGTGAGGAAAATATTCCATGTGCGATAACTTGACTTGACTTGCGATAAATAAACATATATTCAAGTTTGCATATCAGCTACCTGGTTGTTTTTAAATTAATTATAAGATTAGAATTTAATATTTTAAATACAGCTAAATGTTGCTTCTAGAGCAGCAACATTAATGTTTACAACAGCAAAGTCACTCAATATCTGACATCTCTATTAGTGAGTGACGTTTAGAAAGAATAACGTCAGTCTGTATCAGTCCCTCCTCCTCTCTGCTGGCTGCAGGTAACGTTACCAGGTAGAAGGAGGAGCGGCTGGTTTGTCTCAGCCAGCCGCTGAGTTTTTAAGACTACAGACCAGTCTGTGCTCCAGACAGACAGCTTTCTATTTACCTTGTTTTTAACATTTGGCTGATGCCAAGCTAGCGTAAGCTGTGCTTGTATAAAACATCCAGGATGAGATACTGAGGACAGAGATGATTAAATTAACCCTTTCTACATGTACATTACAGACAGGTGTATTGTCTTTTTACTCATGAAGATTTTATTACACGTACTTACAGTAACGAGCAAAGCTGTAGACAACTCGAGTAGATTGGCGCTAACTTATCTTCACCGTCTCCACCGCGAAAGGCGCGGCGTCAGCCCGTTCAATAACGTGTTTCGGCGCTCTCATGAGAAACATTAGTTCTCTTATCCATTGCGTTTCAAGTTAAATCACATTTGACGCTGGAGACATAACGTTACATCATAGGAACCGCTAGTCTCGATAGCAGTATCGATAAGCTTGGACCTTACTGATTTTTGGGTTTTGATAAATTTTGGAACCGGGTCCTTTTAGAACCGGTGTTCTGTCGATTTATGCTACCTATCGAGACGCGCTACTTAGCGGTTCTGCGCATGCGTTTGACCCACAAGCGCGGTTTGTTTCCACGCGCATAAATCTGTGCAACCTTGCTGTTGGGAATGCCGTCGAGAAAGTGGCTGATCGTCAGTAACATTAAAAAAAATCAGAATACGCTGATATCTTACAGAAAGATGGCATAATATAGTATTTCAACATGCTCCCCATCTGCACACATGGAGAGAGTAGTGGTGCAATATAAAGTGATTCTGTAGTGGAAGCCTTATTTGATAGGGGATATTAGTTATTATTATCCATATTATAGCCTATAAGATCATGGAACTGCACCCTTTATTGGCCCAGGATGAAGATTTAAAGAGGCATCTCATCCTTTGTTCTATGCAGCATTCAGATCACAATGGTCTGAGAATGCTTTTTATGATGTTTTTACAATGCTTATATTTATATGTCATGAGGAAATATTCACCCAATTTGACAAAAAAGTATACTGGATAAGAATCACAAAGTATCCCTTTAAGTGCTGTTGATAATTTTTCATTCATTCAAGGCTGTATCCCCCTAGGAGCCATAAAGCCTTCATCCATTCATTTGTAAGTAGCAGAAACTGATACATGGACTAAACATTGACATTTGGCACCATTATAAGTGGATGAGCTTCCCAGCTAATGTAGCCATCACTAGTGACATGTAGTCAAAATCTACTGTCACAATGAGCCCACTTTTAGTTTACAGGGGCCGTATTACAGAAACTTCCTAACCTGCAGATCCTATCCTAACTGCTTGGTAACCATGGTAATAAGGGTTAGGAAATGATTTAGGAAAAAGGCCATTACAGATGAACAGTTCCCGAGTCAATGTTCCTTTCCTAACTTTAGATAAATTGTATTACAGAAGCATCCTAACTTCATAAAATCTTAAATTATGCAATTATGGTAGGTTGTTACTGGCACACTGCTCGTAAAACATTTTTCTCATTGCATGTAGGCTTGTCAGTTTTTAGTAACTTGTAAATGGACTTTTCTTTTTGACAGCACCAATTTGTCCACTATTTTAGCCCACTCTCTGTCTTTAATCTCCCGAGTTAAGCGTTATGTGAATTTTGATTTCTCTGCAGAGGTTACAAACACCTCTGATTCATCTGGCTAGAGCTGAATGTTAGTTGTTGTTTTTGCGTTTTGAGTATTGCCCCCCCCCCCAAAAAAAAACACGACCAAAAGCCGTTTAGCTTGGAAAGATGAGAAAAGTGGCTTCCGGTTGCTAGGTAACAGACATAACCATTGATAACCGATGTTGGATTGAGTATTTAGGATTTCCTAACCTGAGATAAGATAAAGTTAGTTAGGATTTGCTTCTGTAATACCAATTTGGGAAAAATCCTATCTTAGACTCTTCATATCTTAACTTAAGACATGAACTTTTTGTAATACGTCCCCATGTGTGTAACGTCTCCGACAATCAAATGTAATTTTGTTCATAACGATCTTTTTTTTTAAATAACTAAATACAGTTTAGGTTGGTTTAGGTTTGATGCTTTTAAGACCTACAGAAACTCAATTCCTTCGACAATTCACGTTAAAAACTATGCAACAAACAAAGTGTTTTGAGGTGTTAAAGATTAGAAACCACTGAGTTAAGTTTAGATACATGTAATCTTCATGGAGTTCAGAACAGCCTCACCCTCAAAGGTTAAGCTTATCCTTCACACACACACACACACACACACACACCTTCTTTTGTCGGGAGGAGCTATAGAGCTGAATGACAAGCCAGATAAACGACTGTTTGGCTGGTTAAAAGACTCAATACTAGTACTCTAACTATACAAAATACTATATTTACAAAGATAATTTAAGTATTTGATTTGTAAAGGAAAAAATCAAGCATGCTGTGTGTTAAAATAGAGACCTGTTTACTTCTGTTTGACGTTTAACGTAATCAAACAACATTTAAAAATATTTTAGGGCAAGTTTTCTTAGTATTTTAATGTAAATCACCAAGAGTTTACTTGAATTACGGTAAATATATTCAAATTAGTATATTATAATTCAAATATTCTTGAATTAGCTTGATAAATAAAGAGAAATGCACTTCCAAAAACTTAACTGACTGTGTGCCTCTTTCTTTTATAAACATGATGAAGAGTATTCATAGTTCATCAAAATGCACCAGATTAGAGAGCTGTGAGAGATGGAAAACATTTGGCCTGGGTGTTCTGGGAAGGACGTTAAGTCTACGGGGCAAAAATAATCTACATTTCTTCATCAAATTTCCTGCTACGTAAATACACGACGGCAGTCTTACCAGGAGGGCGTCAAACGTGAGCTGGACATTTTTGGTCTGCCTGAGGTCTATGTAGTTCATCAGCAACGACCGGGTGTCCAGCTGCATGAAGACAGCAAGCAACTGCAGAAGAGAGAAAGATTATTGCACTTACACAGTTGATTTAAGAAGAGTAACGAGTGTAAGTAAGACGAGAGATTTTATGATTGAGAGCTGAAGATACTCAAAGCTGCAGCCTGAGGAGGAAAGAACTACACGGGTTATGGCGAGAACGTTTTTAAAAGGGAAATCCATGGACTTTACACATGAGATTATGTTTCCAGATGTTGGGGATGAAAAGCTTGTATAATGCCTTTAGTGTCTCCAGAGGGAGTTGTGTGAAGCCTGATATATGACGTGACTTGTGGTTTTGGTGGGAGTCTCACCTCCTGGTAATCTCCCAGCGGAGTCAGATACTGCAGGATGAGCCTCTGCTCCATGGCCGCGCTCAGCGGTGAAAGGCGGTATTCTGAGCCGATCACCATCGAGCTCACCTCAGACCAGGAGGTGCTGATGGCCGGCTGGTCGCTGGCGTTGTTTCTCTCCTCCTCTTGCTCCTCCTCCTCCTCCTCCTCCTCAGTCCTGCAGGAGGAGGTGAAGTTGAGTTTCTGCTTAGCCTTCCTCCCGTTTTCCTTTACTGCCTGTCTCTTCCCTCCTCCTCTTCCTCCTGCCTGCCTGTCCTCCGTCTCCCTGGAGGCAGGGTCCGGGCTCGCTTGATAAACAAAGTCTGGAAGGAGTCGGATCGAGCTGGATCCACCGCTGCTGCTGCTACGGCCACCCTTTTTCAGGGCCGACCCGAGCAGGGACAAAGGTTTGGAAGCGACCTTTGACACCTGCCTGCTGCTCTCTCCCTCGCTCTCTTTCCTCTCTTCCTCCTCTCCCACATCTCCCCCCTCCGTCTTGTCTTGCCGGTCTGTCGAGACGCTTGAGGTTTGGTTGGCTTCTACCTGAGAGTCCCGAGGCAGATTCGGGGGCGTCTTGGTGGCTCTACAGTGACTCTTAGCCTCCTCAGTTTGCAGCTCATGCAGGCGCTGAATCATGATCGGTACCTGGACGTTCAGAGGAAACAAGTAATGTTATTAGAACATGAAGAGAATTCCAAGACTTTGTGGTGGTGGCAACACAAATAATCGCATTACCACTACTAACTCGTCCACTTTCTTCCATAAACATTTAAATCCATGCAATTTAATTTCAGTTGGACATTAACATCCTCTTTAAGTAAATACAAGTATCGGCATGAAAACTTTTCGGCCCACAGCAGGACGCAATACGTTCACTTTATTTTACTTGGTGTAGAGACAGTCTTCACACAAAAGGTGGGACAGTGCGGTGAATGACACGAGTTTACACGAGTGTGGGACTCACCAGCGAAGCGTTCTGCTCTCTGTAGCTTGCCGCCACTTCCTGGTTGCTCATGGCTCTGGCCAGCAGGCCCGTGGCGTAGACGCACAGCGGTCGCTCTGCTTCACGAGCCCAGGTGAACAACTTCTCAACCAGACCTTCCTGTCTCACACACACACACACACACACAAAGCTGACTCAATTCAATCTAGCTTTATTGGCATGGATGTAAAACAACAATATTGACAGCTACAAATAAATTACCAGAGAACAATTCATTTTATAGAGTTAATTAAATAAAGTAACGTCAATCCTTCATTTATTTAAGTTTTACCTTCTCCTGGAAAACGACGGCGGTCTCCAGGCCCGGCATGATGTTCTGAAGCAGACGACAGGCCGCTGTGTTGAGGCTCAGCTCTCTGCTGGTCATTATGTATGTGTCCAACAGCTGGAAAACACAAACACACAACTAGTTAAAGCTTTTCCACTTTTGTAGACATTGAACTTCTTTTATTTAGGTATATAAATACAATAAACATATTTTTGAATGAATAGAGTGAAACAAAACGGAAATTCAGTCCGATTTTCAGGCAAATCACTTAATTATTTGTTCCTGATATTTTAAGATTTCATTAATATTCCAATCTAAATGTAGTGAAAGGACATGTATGTATTAATTGTTAAATGCATTTTCAAAGACAAATTGCAAACTATTCTCTGGTTCGTGTTTCTCAAATGTGAGGATGTCTGTTTTATATCCCTGTAGACTGAAAATCTTTGCGTATCCATCCATAGAAAAGGTGAAACATTCATTTACAAAAAGTACGTGTGAGATTCGTAAATGCCGTTTGTCAGAACGAAAACTAAACTCATCCATCACACTTTGACGGACGTTTGATAACAAGGGTCAGCAGTTCTCACCGCGTTAGTGAAGTCATCATTCATAAAGAGCATCTTCAGGAGTTGTCCCAGCATGCAGTCTGGGTCTGCTCGTCCTGCAAAGTTATCCAGGAGTCAACAACCGTTCAATAAGGTGAAAGGAAGCTTCAGTTCAGCTCAGAAAACCCAGACTGGCACATTCACAGTGCAGAACACTAAAAAAGCATCTATGATAATCAGTTACCGAGTTATCAGGTGCTTCTGAAAAATGTTTGTTAAAAAAAAAAAAAAAAAAAAGAGAGAGAAACACAGAATGGTTTTGAAAGTGTAGAAGATAACCTGGATGACGGTCATCGAACGGATCAGGGTCTGCTTTGTAATACTCTCCCGTCTCTCGTTCAATTAGCTCAGATATTCTGCAGAAAACACAGAGATAAGACAGAATTACCTCCCAACATCCAGAGACACAGACAGACGGACAGAGAGGCTCTGACATTAAGCTGCACCTGTGACTGATCCAACCAAACAGATCCCGACGACAGCTTTTTAAAAACAGATCACTTCTCACTTAGTAAGGATGGACTCCAGTTGCTCCGTGGTGCCCCGCTGGGCTTCCTCCCATTCGTCTAGCAGCGTGGCGAGATCCGCCTTCGCGTCCACGGACATGGCAACTGCCATGGCGGCCGACACAGCAGCCGACAAGGCGGCCGACACGACAGCCGACACGGAGGCCGACGGCTCTTCCTCCGGGGAAGACATCGCTGCCTGGAAGACAGAAGGAGGAGACGAGGTGAAGGACGGAAAAAGGATAAACAGGTGAGGACTTTTTATTTATACAGCTGAATATCAGAGAAAGAGCTGCGTATATATAGTTCAAAAAACAACATGTGTACGTGTCCATCCTCATCCTCAAATGTAACGTTGGAAAGGTGAGGAGGCGGGGGTTTCTAAAGCTGTTCGACCATCGGACAAGTAGTTCTCATGGAGAAAGGCGGCACCTTCACTGAAATATCGATTCCTAGAAGTTCAGCCTTCTGCCTGTTCATGGCTGACTTATGTTTGAATGACGGCGTGAACATGTCTGCTGGAAAGACAAAAAGTCGGTGCACTTTTCACACAAAGTTTCACCTCAACTGTCCACAAGATTTGGGGAAAGTGCTTCTTGATGCAGTGATTTCTGCTTTCTGAAAACCAAATTTAAAAGAAAGTGTTTTCCGCAGAATCTTGAACCATTTAGCTTCAGTTTGTGTCTCTAATGTATCATCATTACATTGTGGACATAAAGATAAGGATTGTAATAAAAACCCTTCGATGCTTACATTTACTGCTGCTTTGAGGGTGTTTCCAGACTGCTTAAACATTTCTAACCATAAAAAAAAAAAAAAATCCCTGTTTCTATGGTGCAACTATGGCTTATGTTGATGTTTCTATTTTTAAACAAAATAACACATTAATACAGTCTTCCAGGACTCTGGACAAACCTTAAATAGAACCACAGGAAATTTGACTAAACAAGAAATCAGATCTGTGACTCGAACATACTGATGACACATGAGAGGCAGAGATGTGGGAAAAAATTGTGATGGTAGGATATTTTCATGTTATTGTTCTACACATTTCTGTTGGCAAAAGTAATAACCCGTTTTTATAAAATAAAAAATAAAAAGTTTTTCTGTTTTGTTTTTTGTTTGTTACACAAATTAAGAGTTTGGTATCATGCGATATCACAATATTTACCGATACTGGCAAAAATATCTCCATCAGGGCTCCAACTAATGATTATTTTCTCTGTTTTTTTATTTACTCCATTAGTTGTTTGGTCAATAAAATGTCAGAAAATGGTGAAAAATGTCCACAACCCAAAAATATTCAGCTTAACGACACAGAGGAGTAAAGAAACCAGAACATATTCACATTTAAGAAGCTGAAATCAGATCATTTATCTCTAAAAAAAAAATGATTCAAATAGTTGGGCAATAATTGAATGAATTGCTGCAGGTTTAATCTCCATTAAAATAATAATGTCAACATTGTGCAGCTCTACCTGGCTGTCGTGTAGTATAAAGCGTTTTGCAGAATCACCTGACTGATAAAACCGTTATTATCATCATGCATGATGATATATATTATATTGTTTGTGACTCTCAGATAATGTGATTCCCAATGCTGACGGCTTACTGATTAGTGACTCTGCAGAAAACAGTCGGGACAGGTTGAAGGTGCAGCGAAGAGTCAGAGGTGCTGCAGAAAGAAAAGTTGAGGCATGTTAAGAGCAGACTTGTTTCAGACACTATAAGGGATCTGTTTTGCTGTGAATCCACACCAACAGGTGGCCTCTGGTCCGGACGGCTGGCTCATCATCATCAGAGGACACTCTCTGCTCTGCGTGAGTTCAGCTAACAGTTAGCAGACTGAAGCTAACTGTCACCTTAAATTCACGCCGCTTCCTTTTCGCTTCACCTGCGTTTTTATTTATTTTTTCTCGTGGTGTTAAAGTGTCCACAGAAGGGCCCCCCAGCCTCTGGGCGGCGTTGGGGTAAGTTAAGGCCCTTACGTGTCAGATAGGAGCCCGGTGAGGAGCCAACATGTTGACAGCCTCATGTTGGAGTCAAACAGCTTCAGCTAACGCACTTAATGTCACACACTCACCCGCGCGCCGGGCTTCTCACTTCAAACTCGTAGTTTGCAGGAATTCCGCTGAATTTAGCCGCAAAAGGACCAAAAGAAACGACGCTGACATTAAACGTTTGAGAGAGACAAAAAAAAAACTTTCACGTTTATTTTCAAAACTTCTCCCGGCGGCCGCACGCTACGTCACCGGACGGCAGTCGACGTTAGATGACGAAGGACGGCGAACCTCCTGATGGGAGTTGTAGTTCAAAATAAAACCAACTTTTTTTTTTCTTAGTTTAGCTTATGTGTTGCAATTCTCTTTTCTAAATATAACAGCATTACTGTAAAATAACCATTTTTCTTGTCCTTTATTTATGCAGAGAATATCGGAATAGACTAGAATATCTTTATTGTCACTGTGACAGTGCAACAAATTAAGTGCAGTCCTGTGCAAAACAAGGTAATAAAATGTAAAACCAACTGCTTATAAACAGTGTTAGGGAGTAACTAGTTACAAGTCATTTAGTTACGTAACTCTAATCGGTGCCTTAATGGGAAAAAATGTGTAATTAAATTACAGTTACTTGTTCTGAAAAATATTCGTGATTACTTTGTGGGTTACATCTGAATATTTTCTGTAAATAGCTTGGCTATATGTTGAATAATATTAATTTTGTTGCTCTGCATGTTTTTCATGTGCACAATATTTTATTTTGCCATTTTCAGTCTCAGCTGTTCAGTAAAGTTTGATGCTTCTGATTGGTTCTCATGTTTGAATTTGCAGAGCCACACATCTGAGTTAAATTGTCTTTTGAAAATGGTTAACAGTTAAAGTAATTAAAATAGATGCACTACTATTACATTTTAAATAGGGTAACTTGTAATCTGTAACCAAAGTAATCTTCCCAACACTGAATATAAAACACAATTTACAGGATACAATTACAACATTGCTTTACATTGTCCTGTAGAAACCAAGACATCTAGATAAAAAAAAAAAATCAATCTTTGCAACAAGTCTGATAACCGACAATGTTCCTATTTATTTTAGATGTTAGACAGCTGGGAAGTTTATGCATTATAGACTTAAGGATGAACCAGTGCTTGGTTCTCCTGGCAATAAAAAAAGTCCAAGCCCACTAGAGAGCCCAACAGACAAATGTGTGTGTGTTAAAATTGGCACCACTGCAAGGCAGCATGATAAACTGCATCAAGAGGCTTCAGCACTGCAGCTGTAGCATGCAGAGTAAATCCCCATATTCAAGTTATGACATGAAAGTATCTTCCACTATGTCAATTGGGGGTTTGTAAGACAGGCATGATTTATTTCTGTAAGAGAAACAGATTTTAAATTGTAGCTTCCTCACACGCGTTCTATAACCGACCCATCTAAGGTACTTATTTTAAGCTCAGTCAAAAGTTGATTTCTGGACTTAGAGGAGAAGAGTAATTCAGTACCAGCGTAAGATCAGTTAGGGATTTTTGTAGTGAAAAATATGATTGAAGATAAACAGGTCTGAGCATGGGGTGGGGCAGTAGCATAAAAGATTGTGTCGTCAGTTTAAAAATGACATTTATAGTTCCTCGCAGTGTTACAAATTTATATATAAAGTGAACAAGGGATCCTAAATCACATGTGTTCTTACATCTGTGTCCAATATCAATGCAGCCAAGGAAACTTAGTCCACTTACCACCCCTTTAATCATATCTCACAGCCTTTATCAGCTTTTGGAGTTCGAGAAGTTTTAACACTCCTGAAAAATCAAGTGGATCTTGAGTTGGGATTTTTAGTGTTTTCTGTTTGTATTTAGTGTTAACAATAAACTTTTACACCCAGTAGGGGAGAGCGGGGTGATTTGAGCCTGTGGGGAAGTTAAGCCACCCCTTGTTTCTCAGCAACCATAGACAAAATTGGTCATGTGACAACACATTTTTGAAGAGTTACTCACCCTGTGATGAAAAGAGGCCAATGGAATAAGTTTAAGCACATTTAAGATTAAAAAAAAAAAACTTTTGTGCCGTTCAAAGTGATTTTTTTTTATGTTCAAGTTGATTCTTGTCAGAACAATTTCAGACAGCTTTGAGAAAATTTTATGCCTGGGTGGCACAGGACATGACTTTAAAGTGATAGGTTGATATGAAACAACGAGGAGACACAGCTGCAATGTTTCACTATCTACGTGTGATTGAATGTTGGCACGGTAAAATGCTATTGATGTCCCCGACCCCCATGTGGCTCAACTTGCCCCATATGAGGGGTAAGAGTCCACCTTTTTTGGAAAGCCATATTTTGAAAACAGTTTATTTTAGATCCAAATTGATTATTCCCAGGGATATATTTGTTCATATTTTAGTTGGAGACATTACTGTCATATCCTCACTTTAAAGACACCTCAAGTAAAAACCGTCTCAACTCACCCCGCTCTCCTCTACACGTAGGTAATGAGTAGGTTACTGAAATATGGAGGCTCATAGTGGCCTGATTTAACACCTTCAATTAAGATATTAAGATAGAAGACCTACATTCTGTATCAATCACACTATATTACTCCTACTTCCTCCTGAAATCAAGACAAAACAGATTTACAATTAATTAACGCATTATTGATAAGTCACTTGCGTATGAGATTGCTACACTTCCCGCCGCTGAATTAAGAAAACTACAAACAAGCGCAAACGGTTTATTGAGTCATTTGAACATAAAGGCATCGTTTTCACTCTGAAAAATAGTTTATTCCATCAACGCAATTTGAATGTACCTGTTTTCAGATGCTTGTTGAAAAATATATTGCCTAACTAACAGAGTAGCCACGCTCTGTATTTATTTACAAGGTTACGTGAATTACATTTTAAAACAGTGCACATGCAGTCATATCAAAAGCAAGAAACAAAGAGCTGCTGGTCTGCTGCCAACAGGGTTCCTACAGATCCCATTTAAAAATGTTGTCCCTTTACAAAGTCCTGGATATCTGAAGATGTTCAGAAAGCGACTCACACTGTAGTAAACACTGCAGCGCACCATTGCACTCATAAGAATAACAGCCTTACCCCTCACTGCTAACATCAACTCTGGCTTTGATTAATCAATTAGTTGATCAACAACTTTATTGGAAACTATTTTGATAATTGATAAGTAATCTTTTAAGTAAAAGATCAAAAAAATTTTCTTGTTTAAGCGTCTTAAGTGTGAAAAACTTGCAGCTTTTTCTCATGTTTACATGACAGTAAAATTTATATTTTAGAGTTTAACGACTGTTGGTTGAAGAAAACAAGACATCACTTTGGACTATACTAATCAAGACATTTTTTAACTGTTTTCTGATGTTATAAAGCTCAAAAGATTAATCAATTATAAAAACAATCAGTAGTTGCAGCCCCTAAATCGATAACATACAATATTAATCATCAGACTTGGAACCACTCAAAACAAAACATTCAAAGCTGGAACTGATCAAATTCATTATGTGTGTTTTTTTAAGACATGTGTAGGAACCCCGTTTCTCGGCTAGTGTGTTTTCAGTTTGTCTCCAAACAGCGTCATCAAGAGTCCGTACAGGAATCCCCCTGTGAGGATGAGCAGAGTGCTGGATATGGGGCCAAACGACAGTAGGGCCCCAAACACGTAGAAGATCAGCAGCAGCAGTATCGTCCTGTAGCTGGCCAGCGGGCGCAGGCTCAGCCTCGGCTGCCGCTTCCTCTCTAATGTCGGCCGCGATGTCGGGCTCAGCTTTAGCGTTGTGGTGGAACTGGGATCCGTGAAGTAGTGACGACCCAGGCGGCCCAGGAAGTCTGGACGTGAGCAGAGCGCATTCATGTGTCCTCCGAACTGTGGGAAGAGAACAGCAGAAGGGTATGAACGTCTTTAAAGTTAAATTTCTGAGAAGTTTTGTCTGTTTGGTGCAGGGCTGGGAGGCTCGCTCACTGGAGACGGCTCCGGCTGAAAACACTAAGAGAGCAGTGAGAGTGAACCAAAACAGTACGCTGGCGTAGGGCTGGACGATATGCCCAGTAATGTTAACACGATAAAAAGTTTCATTATCACAATAAATATCAAATCATTATGTGTTTCGAGTTTAAAGGCTGATATTTGCTCCTGAGTGAAAATTTAAGAAAACTCTTCTTTATGATCACTTCACAAATCTGAGGTCTGATGTTCATTCAAAACAATTGTGATAAAATCTTTGTTAACAAACAAAAAAAGTTTTTCCAGTCCTTTTTCCTCAACAAAATAAACATCTTAATAAAGTCAATAAGTAAATAAAATCAAACATTACTGAATATTTATTGAACATTTGTTTTGTCTTGAGTATAAGACATACGCTGGCTGCTGTAAAACCAAAACAATGATCTGAAAGATGCTTAAACGCTCCGTAGAGCTGAAGAGGCAACTGTGTGTGATAATATAACTGTTCTAAGTGATAATTCTTCATGATATGTCACTACAAGTTTGTCACCATTGACCCTTTTTCACATTACACACAGCCGTGATCAATTGTTATTAAAAAAGTATTTTAAAAATTAGTTTATTTAAGGAAGCAAATACAAAAATGTCACCATGTTTTAAACCAATTCCAACTAGCTTCATTCCTATTGTTGTAAAATATGTCTTCATAGTTTGTATCTTCTTCTTCAGAAACCACTTACCCTCTCGTTAACCAGAGACGAGATCCTGTAGAAGAGCCTGACCAGCAGGGCGTTCTCGTAGCTCCTAATGGGCTGCAGCTCCGGGTCTCCTTGGTACTGAATGTCAAACCTGCGCAGTCCACTTATGATCTGCACAAAAGGTCAAACACACAGTCGAGGTTTTAGTCTTAGTGCCTCTTGGCCCACAGTGCTAATGTATGCCGACCTCCTCTGGAAATACTGACCTGCCTCCTGCCCAGGTCGGTTAGAATAAGTCCGTTCTCTCCCTGGATGCAGTCTGGCAGCTGCTTGCCGTTGCAGTCATCTTCAGAAGAACCCAGGTTGGATATAAGCTGCGTCAGCTGCCCTTGGTTCAGCTACAAAACAAAGAAACATCGAATGTTTCTACTTGAATGAGTACCTGAAAAGCTCCTCTGCATGTCAGACACTTTCTGTTGGCAGCAGCAACAACAACACACACATATATACGCTTAAATAATGTCAGTCTTAAAGTCAAGATTTAAAGATCTATCCGGCATTCATAACTTTAAATGTCTGTTCAAGGTAACTTCGGTCCATACTGGAATATCTCAAGAAGTATTGGGTGGATTGCCATGAAATGTTGTGCTAAATTTAACAACAGTTAAAGTAGTTTCACCTTGAAGATTTGACACAGGTTCTCCAAAGCTCTCTCCAGGAATTCGTGGGTCTTCTTCAGACATTCCTCACTCTCCTCTGGCTCGGCCCCAGAGAAGGTGTTGTTGAGATCAGGAGAGCCCATCCCAAACCAGGACAGGAACGAGCTATTAGCCGCCACCTCATTGGAGTGATCCGAAATCCTCTTGGCTGTCTGTCTGGCTTGTGCAATTATCTGGATTAACTTCATGACCTGTAGAATGGATTTAACATTTAGACTTTGTAGGTCATTTCAGTATTACTTCCTAATTATTATTATTAGGCTGTATAAAATGTTTGCAAAGGGAAATACAGCTTCACGGACAACCCCGGCTTAAGCCTCAAGGAACCCCCCCACATGATGACTAAACTTACTGCTCCTCTGAGCTCAGTGCCGAACATCTGTTTGTACTGGCAGTCCTGGCCTTCCAAAGCATAGACGTGGCTCTTCACCCTGAACACCATATCTGTCATCACCCGTTGTCGTGACGACAGGAAGCTGCCTCCTTGGCTCGGCGTCAGGTAGCCGCGGGGTTGGCGGTGATGGAGGACGTGCTCTGGCTCCAGAAACAACTGCTCCCCTGGTGAGAGATGCCTGCTTTAGTTTGTTTGAACTAGATATATTTTCCCTTTTATTCGCAGAGAGAAAGTGAAACAACCTGCAAAGTCAAAAGTTATAAAACTGTTCAGCACCTAAAATAAAAAATATTTTTTTGTTACAGACTAATCTGCTCATTACATTCTCTAATTAATCGTTGGTATGTAAAGAGCCAAAATCTCTTCAGATTCTTTTATTTGACCTACCAACGGATCAAAACACAAAGAATATTTGACATTTTTGCTTTTAAATAATTTATTCATCAAAATTGTTGCTGATGAATTTTCTTTCTACTAATAAATCATCAACTTGTTAAATCATTTTCGCAGTTAAATGTAATCGTATTTGTACCACCTACCATAAAAAAATCCTAGTTTAATTTGTTAAATTGTATTAATTTGTAGTTTATAGATTTTTTAAAGAACCATTTCTGCTCTCCGTATAACAGAAGTAGCAACAATTTTCACTATCCTAGTAAAACAGAGATAAAACAGACTGATTGGAAGAAACTGCTCTCTGTGACAACATGTCACAGCATCTCTGTCCTCACCTTTCTGTATCATCTCAGCGAGGTTTGGCTGAGCAAAGACTTTGGCCACCCGGAAAACCATCAGTGCATTTTTGGCGTTAACCAGATCTGTCCTCACGGTTCTGTTCAAAAAAACCTGGAAGAGCTTCGTGTACATGAGCAGGTTCTCGTGAACAAAGGACTCCCTGTAAAAGAGCAAGTTAATGTCAGAGTCTAATAAACGAAACTCATCACCTGCATCTCATCTAGCCTTTAAACTACAGTATGACAGTGATAGTCTAACACTAAAGGTAGTTACACCAGTTACTGTGCGTATTTTCAAATATATATAAGTTTGTAGGAAAATGAAACCCCTCTCTAAAAGGACTTACTGATTATTCAGAAAAGGTGCATCAAAGACATCGAACTCACCATTTGTCAGGCACTGTTCTGTTTGGGTCTGGCTGTTGATTGGTCTTCTCCCCGGTGTATCTCCACGGCTGGATGTAGCTCAGCCAAGTCTCCAACACCTAAACGCAGAGATGATACACTCTCTCTCAACCATAAACTAAATACTGAAACCGTGTGTGTTTCTAGAGTTATTTAGCTGAAATCATCATTCTGTAGGCACAACTCTGACCTTCTCGCTCCTCACCACAGGCTGCTTGTTGCAATAATTGAGACATTGAAACTTTCTGTTACACCGAAATGCAGTGTTAAATGGTGAATCAGCTATATGGCTGCATGGGAATAACAAAAGACGCAGTTCCCCTGCTAGAAAGGGCCAGGGGTCGACAGAAAAATAAGACCTGTACAAAGCCACAAAAATATTTTAGTCCTTTAAATGCATTGAGAACCACTGGTCTAAATGACTGTTCATTCATATGATTTACCACAAGGTGGCTGCAAGAGGCCTTTTATGATTTTTATGATTATTTGGCCACTTTACGTAAGGGCTGCACAATTAATTGAACACGATCGACAGCCGGAGCTGATCGCGGCCCTTCTAGTCAATACGAGGTCCATCAGACGCAGTGTGCCATTTGTAGCTCTCGAAGAATACAGTGGTCAATTTGTTTTTAAAGAAAATTTTCTGAGTTGTGGAGCCACTAATGGGCTAAAGAGCTGTTTTTTGAGCCACAGGTTGCAGGCGCCAGGTCTACACAGAGCTAAATCACCGGAAAACAAGGAACCAACCCACAAGCTCTAACTCCTGACTGACTGACTGTTGAACCCCCAGGTTAAAAATGCAGAAATATTTATTTTGGGCGAGACCTACCGCTCTGAAAGAGGCGTCTAGAGGCCAGTGACCGAAGCAGTGCTGGAGAAACAGGTACAGTTTCTGTTGCACAAAACGCTGCACCACCACTCTGTAGGCAAGAGGAACATCAAACATTGAGTGTTCGTTAAGGGTGACTTTCATTAACACACGTATGTACTATTGCGATGCTAGAGAAATGCAGCATAGCCGGGCTCTGGCAGTAGCATGTGTGATGAAGCTGACCTCTTGAACTCCTCCAGCGGGCTGGTGTGAGTGTGCGAGTGGGCTGAGGGGGAGGAGGACAGCTGCTCGGGCTTCAGGCTGCTGGAGAAGGCATGCAGATGTTTCACCAGGAGACGCACCACCAGCACGTGCTCCTCCGTCGGACTGAAAGGCTCCTGAAAAGGCAACCGGTCACAAAGTGCTACAAGACCACATGAAACCCAATCAGCTCCCAGTTTACAAAAGCAGCCAATCATAACGCATCCCCAGTCCAAAAGCAGCCAAACAATCACCAAAGGCTCCGAGCACTTTCTATTTTACAGAGTACAGAGGTCTCACGCCTATGAATCACAACCAGTATTACAGGGAAGAGACTGAGTCTGGACCAGTTCATTAGCCCCTGTTCAGTTTCATGCACTGGTGAATTTACCTTGCTCTAAAAAACGCAATGGCGACTGACAGAAGTGCTGCTGATGGTTGTTTCATCTGAGTTATTCTTACAGCGTTAATTCTAGTTTTTATTTTGTTTCTTCTCTTTTTAACAAGATAATTTCATCTCCTGTCTGCACCCTTTTAATGCCAGAACAACTTGGCCAGGACACTCATCTGTGTGACCAAATACGATATTCAACTTTATCTCAATAATAATAATAATAATAAATGTTCTAAATATCCCAAGTCGAGGTTGGAAAACTGTTTAAAACTATGAGAAAATGAATACGGTTTATTTGATTTTAGAGATTTTTCAGAAAAATTCAAAAATCAAATTGTAAGTATCAAATTCCATTTATTCCATCCATTTACAATTAAAAGTGGGACCTCAGTGCTCCATTAATTGCTTAGAGCAAAGCTGCTTTGTCAAAAGGATGCAATGTTTCCTCTTCTAAAATAATGCCAACAAGAACTAAAAACATTTATTTTAGTATGAAATGATTTAATGAATGGCATGTAAGATAAAAAAAATGTTTAAAATGTAGTAGTATTTTGCTTTACACAGAGCAGCAGTGTCAGAAGAAACACACATCAACCATATGAACACATATAGCAGCAAAGCACACCAGAATTAATGTAAAACAAAAGAAGACATGCTTTAAAAAACACAAACAGCAGAAGCAGCAGCTCAAAGATTCAAATTCCAAAGCTGCTTTCTACGATTACTTTCCCTGTCAAGGATACTTCTCTGTAGAAATTCACAATTTACAGTCAGGCTGGAGGTCTCGTATAGAAACTGTAGCAAAGAACCAAACTGCTGCTTGTGGATCCCAATATGAAAAGACTGACAACAGCCTAAAAGGCATTAAACCTGGCTAAACTTTAAAGTCACTGGAAGGGAAAACTAATCCCTGACCTAAGAGTAAAAAGAGGCCAACATGAACAGGGAACTGCTGCTGCTTAATAAGAACTGAACTGTCTTAATATATTGACAAAATATTGTGCATTCACTTCCACCTTTTCTCTAGCCAACCTGTTTTTTAGAAAAGCTACAACCTGATGTGCAAAAGCAGAAAAGGATGCAAACCGATCAGTCGTAGCCAATGTCTGCCAGCCTCAGGCTGCTGACTGGAGGGACTACGTCTCACCGTGTTTGTCAATATAAGAGAAGTACCCTTGACTGTGACCTTAATTGATTGAGGTTTACCTCCAGGAGGCCCCAGAGGGGCGGGGGTGAGTGAAAAGGTAAAAGTACTTGGTAGGTGTGGAGGGTCCCAGAGCCTGGTGGGGCGTGGGGTTGGCACGGCATGCTGGACATACTGAGGCGATACTGCAGCAGCGCCAGCTGTTCAACCGTAACCACCAGGGGGGAGAGGAAGATGAGTAAGAGGAAAGACAACACAACAAAAGGTGGAGGAGGGACAACAGCGAAGACAGAGGAAGGGGAATAGTGACAATAAGGGAGGAAGAGGAGGAAGGAGGAAGGTATCCGTGAGAACAGGAGAAAAGGAGGCAGCAAAAAGGGAGAGTGCAACCAGAACAAAAACATTCAAGAGGAAAGGAGAAGAAAACAGGAGAGGAGACAAACAAATATAAAACATTGACTGTGAAACACAACCGCTGGGGAACGATGCAGAGACCTTTCCTACACTCCAAACAAAAGGGATCACATGTCTGTAGGGATGGGAATCATTAACACAGGATCAAATATTTCTTAAATGCAAAAATCACTACTGTTAAATGAATGGAGATACTTTTTTGTCTATTAACAAATGAATAATAATGATTTGACGGAGCTGTAATGTTCACATGCTTCCCTCTGAAGCAACGAGAGCTCTGCAGTAATGACAGAAGAGCTGTTGAGGGAGGTTATGTGGAAATGCATTACTTGCCTTCCTGGCTATTGGCAATATAAACCAGGTAAGGGGTGACTGGACAACGTTTCAAAATAAAAAATAAAGAAGGTGACTGCAAAAAATGCACCAGTTTTTGTGGGTTTTTGGTTTTTGTTAACTTTTAAATATAAATATTCTTCTGTTATTAATTCCCATCCCTAATGTTTATCATCATTAAACTGTAAGACTTTGTTTTGTGCAAATACAACTGCAAAAATAATCAACAGTGCCCAACTGTGTTGAGAGGCACAACACGCAGGAAATGATGTGTTTTGTGGTAAACTAATCTTTATTCAACAAAAAGACATTTTATTATGTTACACTGATTTGTTGGCATCCAACACTGAGATGGTTTTGTACAATCTATACTGTAGTCAAAATCTTACAGTTTAAGTGTACTCGTAACAGGACGGACACAGAACGCAACACAATAACACAAACCCGTGGTTCATATATTTTAAAGGTTGAGCATTTAGTGCAGGACAGGGACACTCGACAAAACGTGCACTTTATTTTGCAGGTCATTGATCAGAAAGTTAAACAAGGAGCTGAAAGGTTATTGTCACTGTTTGCTCTGCAGCCTTATGAAGCAGTAATGGAGCTCAATACTTTCTTACAATTCATAGAACTATTTTGATAAAAATAAATAGATTAATCAACAATGAAAATATTAGTTGCAGTCCTGATCTTAATTTTACAATAAGCACTCTGTTACTTTAGATTTTGCAGTAAGTGCAGACGACATTACTGCTACATAAATACTGAGGAAACAGTACTACAGGGTGGATAAGCAAGTGTGTACTGCATCACACTATCCATGCAATCTACACAGCTGAGGGTCAAAGCGTACGCAGGAAAGGGCCTCATCCCACATCCTGTGTGACTGTAAGGGTAAAAGGAACAAACAACACCAGCACAAAGTCTCACTGGGACGACTTTTGATGGGGGGCAACCAAACCCACAGTATATAACATGGTCATAACATATTCAAAAAGGGAAATAGATTTTCTACCTCTATTTAATGTACTGCAACTATAAGATGTGGGCACATCGCTATTTTAGTTGTACACTTTAGACTCAAGCTTTAAGCTTCTCGCACAAATCGTGCATCTTTATTTAATCTTACCACCTGTGAGGAATGCAACGAGGTCAACTTCAGTCATACGATTTGATTTTACTTTTACTCTTTGCACTACATTCCTCTGTGCTGTCGTGCCAATTTGAATTTCCCCTTTCAACAAAGGAAGATCTTATCTTGCATTTTGAACAACGTCATTTACAGTCTGGGTTTAATTGATTTTAACCTGGTGTATTTCCCATAAATGTGAGGAGGTATTAAGAAAACACACACTTGGTGACACAGGCCGGCATGCAAAGGATGTGAAAAGGAAGCAAAAGCACTACTACCAGGAACACATGCCAAATTCCTTAATGCAATGGCGTTACTCTGCAGCTACTCATACGCTATACATTCTAAAGGGATTTTAAAAACACATTTCAGATATGACCTTGAAGATGTGACGCTGCTAAAGTGGGGAACAGGGATGCCTGCTGTGCATTTACACTGTATGCAACTCAAGAAACATTTTGACTTCAGTCAGCTGATTCATGTCTCTTTATTCATCACTGAAAAAGAACCAGCTGCAGCCAAAGTTTTCAACAGTTGCTCAACTCTACAACGTTCTGTTTAGGGACAACTTCACCCTAGAAGGCTCGGGGTGTTGTTTGTATTTACCATCCACAGTAGCTTGTACATTTTAAAACTCAGTCCATACACAGATTTACTAAAAAGGTTTTGTAAAAGTGGGACTTCCTAACGGTAGCTAGTCAGGTGCCCAGGTTGCTCAACGCCAAAATTACCAACCACACGGCTGCTGGCCAGCAGCCTGGGCTTTCTCCGAGATGGGACGGAGACGGTGGGGAGGGGGCGGGTGTGGTCAGCCAGTCAACAGCCAGCTGTGCGGTACTGCAGTGCAAGGTGAGAGGAGAGGGGAGGGAGAGGAATATTTCTCTTACCTTCACCTGAGGAGACTGCAGCTTCTGGTACATGTCCAAGGAGTAGTGATGGAGCCAGATCTCCACAAACATCTTAGCACAAACACAAAGTTTTAGCAGCATATTTACATAAAAAAGTGTTTGGGTTTTTTTTCAGTTTCAGATCCTGAACTGTAAAACCTTTCTATAATCTCTTACTTTGAGAACATTTTGTTCATCTATGCCACAGCTTGATTTGCGTCTTACCTGTAACAGTGTTTCGGACCTCCAGATTTCCTGGGCTGCAGGATCTGCGTTAACTGAGGGTTGATGGAATATGTGATGCTTGAGGAGACTGGGGCTGTGAACGCCGTAACCAGCAAAAGAAACACTGGAGGATCTGTTGAAATTAAGGTGGGACGACAGTGGAACACAAAAGAAAATACTTATACTGTGTACTTGTTCCACCTGCAGGGATTTTCTTCATTATAAAAGGTCTGTTTAAATGCAGTACATGAAAATAACATTGTGATCTTCACATTGTCTTGCTACAAACAGATTTATTAAATCTTTCTTGCTATAAATACCTTGGCGAAGGCGCAGTGACAGAACCTCTGGAGTCAGAGAAAGGGGAAGGAGGTACATTTCCTTCACTGGGGAGGAAGTATTTGAGGTAAGTGTCCACCAGCACAAAGTAGGCGCTGTCAGAGGAGCTTCCATGTTGGCCTTGGGGGTAGTTCTGAAAACACAAGCAGTCCGGATCAGTTCTGCCTGTGCGAAATAAGCCAGCTGGTGGTGCTCACTCTTAAAACAAGTTTTTTTTTTTATTATTTACCAATATACTGTATAAAGCATAAAATGACAGAAATAACAACTAACTTTTAGGATTCCTCACAATTTTAACAATAGACTAAGATAGAATATCAGTGATAGCGCTTTGACAAACTCACCTTTGGCGTAAGGAGACAGTAGGCAAAATTGAACATGAAGAATTCAAATGGATCTGAAGAACATTAAGGAATAACCCAACAGCACAACGATGTAAAGTCCCCGCCCCTTGCCTTGTCTCACTGTCTGACAGCGAGTGCTTGGTTAGAAACTCTATAGACTAAACTGAATATGTTTGGGGTTTGATCGATTGGCATTTCAAAACATCATGCTGGGCTGTGGAAAGATGAACACAGACAGGTTAGTGTTTGTGTCGGGAAGGATACTGAGAGCAAGGTTCAGAGTCACACCGGACAGGGGGAACTGCAGCTTGTTGTGGAACAGCGGACAGTCTGGGAGGACGCCCTCCTGGATGCAGGCCTTCACAGGACCCTTCGAGAGACACCAAGGATCAGAATTCAAGCTGGGGCAGATATATGGTTATCAGGCTCGCAGAGTCTGTTCCTGGTTTTAACTCACATTTCTACAAAAAAAGCTTTCAATGTGTGATGTGTAATTTATTTTCTTTAATTGTACTATATATATATATATATGTTTAAAATATTCACTGTTGTAAACCAATGTGTGTGATACCAGGTTTTATGTGACTTGTCTATGTTTTAAATTTATATCACTGTAAAGCACCTCGTTTCCTCTAGGGCTGAACGATTTGAGGGGAAAATCTAATTCTGATTTTTATGCCAGATTATGAGATTACGACGTTTCGTTTGTTGTTGGCATATGTACACACCCTGTGCCCGCTCTGATAGGTGAGTAGGACCGTAAACAGGAGGCGCATGGCACAATTTCGATTTGAAAACGATTCATCGTTCAGCCCTACTTACCTCTATTTAAAAGTGCTGTACAAATAGTTATAGTTATTATTATGCTTGACATTTTGTCAAAACAAATACCAGTTTCCTGCACTTTGTCATACATGATGCAACTTGAGATAAAATGTGTCACAATTGATGCAGAAATCAAAAACATGCTCGTCAGATTAAGTATTAATTTCCCCAACCTAAACCTCAGACCAAACAAACAATAACTTTGTTAAATTTTAGCATTTTAACCAAACTTTATCTATAAATATTGCAAAAATTCTAATATTTTATCTATTAAATCTAAAACTTTGTATATTATCAGCATAACTGCCAACTATCTAAGTCCAATGGTCAAAAATACAGCTCTGCATGGATATCAGTTTTTCTGATTTATTTGTAATTGGCTGTGTTGCACCACGTCTGAACTGCATAATATTTCTTTATTGATCACTATTTTCCAGCAGCCCCACTGTTACTCAAACTGCACTGTCGCAGCGGGTGCTTTTCTGTAAACACTCCGCAGGAGGCATCTACCTAAGCAGTTCAGTTTGAGAACAGGTCATAAATATGCACAGGTGAAGTGCTGAACGTCTTGCTTGATACATGTATTAGACAGGTCAGTCACAACGCCACGTCACAAAGTCAAAACTAGCAAAAACACATTATTAGATGCTCACAGTGGGCCCTTTTTACATGGAATAACTCATTTATCGAGGATGGGATGTCTGTGCTTGACATTTAAAAAGCTGTTCACACACTCATAGGTAGAGAGAATCACTAAGTGCAGCTAATGATGCAAACACCAAAGACACAACCGCTCTTACCGGGAGATAATTCAAAGGTATTTCATATTTGTACTCTTCCGCTTGAAGTTTATACACGAGCTTCATCATCGGCCCGCTGAAAACAAAGTCAGAAAAGAAGTTTCATTTGATGCTTTAAACAATCATATTACAAGCTTATGTGAACACAGTTTGCTGTGATCGTACAGAAGAGAAACTAACTAACTACCTGGGGTTTAGAAACTCCATAACAATGTTGTACTCATTGTTCCGTGAATGCAGGAGTCGCAGGTTCCAGCCGGCGATGATGCCATCCAGACTGCCAAACACACTCTCCACCAGCCAGGGGAAAATCAAGTGTAGCTCCTAAAGGGAAACACACACACATTATAACACCGACATCTCAGTTTTAATAACCTGCAGTAAAAGACAATGCAACGCAGAGCTGCACTGAAATGACAGTGTTGGAGGAAGGAAAAAAAACAAACTAGTATTATTAATTGAGATAGTCAAAGCACCACTATGACAGAAGCCTCTGACTTCTGGGAGGTAAGACTGGTGATTTACGGGACAGCAGAAGTTCCAGATTGATTCAGATACACCAAGTTTAGACTCAAAATATGAGTAAACATTAACAGTAATAGCAAAAGAAATGTGTGGTTACGGGTCAGCGTTGTCCTCAAAGCAGCTCTGTGGCCAGTCTCACTGTGACATTGTGAAAACTGAAGCTACTGACCACAATGCAACACACACAGGCTGTAATACTGCTGCCTCACTCATCCTTTGTGCAGCTCACTGAAGCTCCAACAGCTGCTCTCAAACAGACCTCCAACTGTCCACAGTGACACCCTCACATGCCTAGATGAACAATCATTTATTATGTACTGAGCTATTCTGGTGCATCACTGGTTGTGCTAACTGACATCTTACCAGGAGAAAGTCTATGAATTTTGTGCATCTCTTTCAGCATGCAAACAACAAATTACAGTCCAAAGTACAAACTCCCTTTGAAGAGAAAGTAAAGATACTAAAAGTGAAACTAAGAAGTCACAGTGCTGGCAGCTGTCTCCTCATTCTTCAAGCATTAAAACCATAAAAAGGTCAGCACTGCCCTGCTGTATCCAGTCAGACAAACAGCTGACTACGTTCGCAATGATGTGTGTACAAATCCAATTACAGTCTTTCCCGAATATTTCTAGAAATTTATAAGCAAGAAAATAACACCCACAGGTCCGGTTCCTGAATCGAACCAACGCGAGCATGATGTAGTGAAGCTCAAACTGTCCAGAAAAAGCCATGTGGTGGAAATATCGTCCAATTAATTTCTACCTGGATATTTTACATCACGTAGCACCAGCAGGTTTATGTTTTTGTTGGTCTGCAGCGCATATCAGACCTTCTCGTAAGACAGCGGGTATTAAATAATTTAACAATCCAGGAATTTCTCTGCATCCGACAGCCTTATCACCACAGATCACATACCATGACTTGTTTGCGTTTGCCATACAAAGGGGACCAGTGAAGTACGTGGGCCACATTTGCAAACATGCGAAAATCACAAAGTAAGTAAGTAAAGGCCTTTTATTAAAGCAGCTTATATTTATATTTATTTAGTCCATGAATCTCCTTGAATTACTTAATGCATATACATCTCTATATGCTACATGCATAAAAAAATTCAATATATCAAAAGGTGCAGACCTCTCATCAAGAATAGATACTACATATTATTATTATATATTGTACATATTTGTTGTTATAGCATGTTTTATATGATTTTGATTTAAATTTTTCTATTATCTATATTCACACTGAAAATAGAGCTCAAGGGTGCATTTTCCTTTCTGCCCCAGGGGAGGTTTCTGTCCTCGTTGAACTTGCCTCAGGACACTCGAATGGCGTTCTCAGCAGAAATTACCCGCTCCAGAGTTCCCTCTTCGAGGTGGACCAGAGAGCGGTTGTTTGGTCCGCACCAGAGTTTGAGTCCAACATTCAAACCAGCTCAAACAAACCGCTCCAAAGGGGTAAACGCTCCAGGGTTCAGTTCTGTTCAACTGCACTAAACAAGGTCGGTGTGAACCCGCCCATAACAGCATCTAGTGCACCAAATCAGTAAATGCTGTGAAACAATCATAAATCAATTTTGGCCATATCCAATTCTTTGTGCTTACATGAATCAGTCATTTCAGGACAAGTGCCTTTCACAACTTTACATAAGACTGCAAACACAAGACAGCGGTGGGAGTGTTAACAGTACCTTGGCAGGATATTCATCGATGATCTTCACCAGATCTTGGCATCTCTGGAGGAGAGGTTTGGTGGTGGCATCAGCCTTAAGATTGGCCTGGAGCAACAACACAGCACATAAATGAGCACAATTCATCTGTCACTACTCAGATGGAAGTTAAAAACAAAATCAGCTCAAAGTTTTAGCTTTAAGACAGTGTAAGGATCACAGAGAGTGAGATGAAGATTTGGATGTAAGCGTTCATTAATCATGTTGATTCTCGACTAGAAAATGTGATCAACGTAAAAAGAGACTCACCAGCAGGAAACTGGGCTGTTGCAGTGTTGGAGCAGACATGTGGGACCCTTAGGTTTATTTATTTTTTCCCTTTGTACAGTCCACTTGGATCCTTACCTGGAGGTAATAAACACAACTTTAAGATTTCTTCAGTCGCAGTTAGCTGGCGACACAAACTAGCATAGCATTACTTTGTTTGCTCCCTCAGCAGAAAACCCACACGCTGATGATTGAAACAAATGCATGCTGTGGAAACAGGATGCAAACTGTATGTTCTGTTAATCCGACAACAATGTCTCCTATTGACCGGAAAACTCAACTCACAAGCAGGCAGTCAGGGAGCCATGCGAGTTAGCATGCTAGCGACGGCTAACTGTAACTAACTTGGCTAACGTTAGCAAAGAGACATAAACAAATGTCCCTGTTAAACACGAACTACAGATGTGGAGCAAACTTTGACACTTTCAAGTGGACACTTCTTTACCTTCTCCGCTGACAGTAATTCAAACGTTGGGCTACTTTTCCATCAGCCGCGTTTCCATCAGTGGTTCAGCTCAAACAGTTCAAACACGACCGAGCGTCGTTGAATTCTTCTTCTGTGGTGTTTCGCTTGGTGGTCATGATGTTGCGCATTACTGCCACCTGCTGGAGTTACATCTCCACTGTGGATCACTTTCCTCGGGTCCTGTTCTTAACATCATCATAATAATAATAATAATTATAAAAGGATGGAAAAGTACACCAACAAAATCCCTGGTAATATTAAGATACACTGCTCACATTTTAATGAGGATGTTATCCATCACACCTCAAGTCCATGGAATGTTTTTTTATATTTGTTTTATTACTATTAATTTTATTTTAACACACACTTTTACCCATCCATTCATCATGAACCGCTTATCCTGCGTACAGGGTCGTGGGGGGCTGGAGCCAATCCCAGCTGACATCGGGCGAAGGGTGGGGTACACCCTGGACAGGTCGCCAGTCCATTCCAGGGCCACATATCTTTGAACGGTAGGGGCAACTGGGGTTTGAACCCCACAACCTTCTTACTGTGAGGTGACAGTGCTAACAACTGCACCACCGCGCTGCTACACACACATTTACCGTTTTATTTATTTGTATTGAATTGAATATTTTTATGAACTGCGTGAAATGAATTGTTTTGTATAATATTTTAAGCTTTGGCAATATTGTTGTTTGACATTCATGCCAATAAAGCTGATTTGAATTGACATTAAGAAAAAAGTAGGAAGAAGAAGAAGAAGAAGAAGAAGAAGAAGAAAGGTTCCAGAGGTGTGCGGCCTCTGATATATATACTTTGCTTTGGGTAAAAGCGTCAATTAAATGGCGCAATGAGTAAGACACTTGCCTTTGGTGTGAAAGATCCAGGTTCGACTCCCACCAATCCACCGATGTGTCACTGAGCAAGATACATAACCTCTCGTTGCTACAGAGGCGTGTGACCTCTGACATATTTAGCAATTGTAAGTCGCTTTGGATAAAAGCATCAGCTAAATGAATGTAAATGTGATTAACAAAGTTCTAGGATCCTTTACTTAAAGTAAATATACTAATATCTCACTATAAAAATACTAGTAAAAGTAAAAGCACTGCATTGAAAATGTTACTTAGTAAAAGTACGGCAGTATAATCAGGAAAATGTACTAAAAGTACTTAATGCAGAATGAAAAACATCTTGCTTTAACACTTTAATCACTCATTGAAGTGACTCTGAATCTAACAACAAATTATACAATATCTAATATATAATATGAAATTGCATGTAATGCATGTAATATATTCCCACAGCATCTTTTGGGACCTGTCTGCAACTTTTTGTTCATTTGTAAATTCTCTCTGACAGCCCTCAAATTTAACCACAGTAATAATATGCAAACAATATGTGAGTGACTTCTATTTCACAGAAAATTTAATACGTTAAAAGTTTTTATGTTTTTATTTGACATTTTTGTGGCCTATTCACATACAGTTTAACACAATTTCACTTCTTAATCTCCAAGTAGAGTTATGAAGTTCAAACAAAAGTTTTAATTTTGCTTAAATGAGAAACACACAAGTTTATAAAAACACTGAGAAAATACACTAAATTCTAGAAGAAAACTATCAAAAATAGAGTTCTTTAATATACAGTGATGCGAATAATGCGAATGCGAACAATTATTGGTTATGCAGAAGCATTAATAAGCTTTACAAAGTGTATTTTCAAGCAAGGTCCATTTCATGTGTGCGTTTCCTTTGAGGCCTTTATTCCACTCATTAGGTACGTATGAAACAGAGCCAACATAAATATTAATGTTGAAAACATTACATGTTTTTGTTGTATAGCAGTGAAGTGGGCAAACACTTTTCTTGTTTAGTCTTATCTCCTTAAGTTATGCTGTGTATATATATATAATAAACATATTTCTGTCTGCATTGTGTGTGAGATCCTGATACATTTCCACCGTCAGTCCGTTATGAAGAATCTGCAGATTTGCAACACATTTCATGTCAGCTAAGGTGCACTAAAGAACTGGTTGTATTGAAGGTCTAAATAGATATTTTGGATAGAAAAGGGTACATTCTCCAAAAAGTATTGTTGGAGTGTATATAGCCTATACTTGCAAACTCATAACATTAAAGTAAAAGTAATTAGTCTGACAAGGTTCCCTACTTTAGCGCACTAGTCTCCCTACTCAACTTTAAACTCAAGTCAGTCAGCTTAAACGGTTTTTGGCATTGCTAAGCTAATTATCTTGGCTAATCAGGATATTTTAGCAAAAACAACAAATATTAATGTTAAGGTACATCTGAGAGCCACAATAAAATTGTAGCTTGTACTTGAGTGTTAATAAGCTGACATAATGTTAGCAGAAATCGGATCAGCTGCATTATTTCCCATTTAACCGTGTCTACTAGTTTCTGTTCAGATGGCCAGATAACGCGGGATAGTGTCTAAACTGTCTGCAACATCTTTGCATGCTTTAATGTGTTATACGCCGTAATACTTGGCACACGCGTGATTCTGACGTGTGTGTCATGAGCAGAGTCTGAACTTTTTTTGACGTACAAAATAATATTTTACAATTTTAGCTGCAGCTTGGAGCTAAATACGTCCCAAACAATAATGAATATTGCTAATAACATAAATTCATAGACAGAGGGATACACTTTTTCTCTCTTTTTTCTTATTACTGTCAGTCTTTAATGGCAAATACAGTTGGTGACACTTTACCAGCTGGCATTTTTTGCTCAAAAAGCAAACATTCTCTCTTAAACCTTTCCTTGTCCTCTCTGCATGTACAGGATCTGTTGTCCGAAGACAGTCTCTGTGTTCTCCGGGCGACTAGAGGGGAATCTCAGGAGGGTTGTTCCTCCTCACCCGGGCTTTCCTGCTCTCCTGTTTCAGCTTCAGAGTGCGGAGTTTCTGCTGCCGGCGTTTCTCGCGGTACCACAGCTGCTCACAGTACTCGTCCACGCTCAGACTGTTGGTCCCCACCATGTGCAGGTCTTTGTAGCTCCTCAGAGGAAGCTGCTGAGGATGCTGGGCCAGCCACGAGTTCCTTTGTCCCGGCAGAGGTGGTGGTGGATGAGAGGCCCCCGACTGGCCGAGAAACCCGGCAACCCCTGCCCCGGCTTGGTGGATCTTCCCGAGGATCACGGGGCCCGCTTGGTTCGGGCTGTGGCTCTGCTGGTAGCGGGTTGGGTGGAGGCTGTCGTTGGGGATAACGTGAACACGGTATTGGGCCAGGACCTGGATGTAGGTGTGCTCGTGGCTGGAGCACGTGTAGAGGCCAATGTCAGCCAGTTGCAGGCGTTGAATCAGCAACCCCCGCTTCATGTGGAGGAAGCGGTTCTCATCGCCCCGAGGGATCTAAGTCACAGAGCAGAGGTCAGTTTAAAGTATTACTGAGTATCTGCCAGTATTTGTTGACTGACACTGAGGCTACAGGAGCTTTTCAATGAAATACAGTCAAATAAGTGAAGCACTTTAAATAAGCTTGACGACAGAACGACTCTGCTTTAGGAAAATAAAACGTGCATCTCAGACTTTCTTTATGGGTTTTCCTTAATATTTTGTACCGTGTGCTACTAGTTTTATGATAATATCTATGCAGAACAGAGTCAGAGTGGATCTGCTCTGGCAGGAAGCTTCATCTTCAGTATAAACTAAATACTTAAGTTCAGGTGCAGCGTTTCGTTTCGTTTGCTCCTATACAGAACGGGTGAGGAGACTTTTTAACACGTCTGTGCCCCATTGTGCCGAGATAATAACTGCTGAGATTTGTCTGTTACCTCACACCGGTGGGTCGTAGCCTCCTAGTTTGTTAGTGATCGTATTTAAACATAAAGCTAATAGTTCTGTAATTATAGTAAAAAATATCTTTTGATTCATCCTTGTGGAATTGTTTTTTTTATCACCATCTGATGTTTGCTGAGAGAGTCGGCTAAACGAGGGACTCACCTGCGTCTGACTGAGACTTTGCTGCCGGCTCTCCGTTTCCTGCACCGTCCACTTGAGCTCAGCCTGCAGCGAGCGAGGAACACACTCCAGGAAGGTTGAGTTTCCCTCCACACCGTACACCACCTTCACCTCCACAGAGTCCGAATCTGACGAAGCAACCGAGACAAAAAATGATCATGTACGCTCAGTATGGTTGGTTTGAATCTGAGGGATTTTAAAAAAATTCTCTTGACACTTAACAGGCAGAGAAACAAAAATGAGCACAGACGAAAGCAGATTAAGAACAGCAAAACATATTTACATTTTATAAAGACATTTATACAACATTTTATCAGTTTCATAATTGTAGTAATCATAACTCCCCCCAGTTTAGCTGGACTGCAGATAAAACTGCAGTCACACAATACAACCTCTAGAGCGCGCCCTATTTCTGCCTGTGAGCAGAACTGTAATAAAGGGTATTTTACAGAATATTCCAGGTCAGTGCTGTTTATCTTTTGCATTATGGTAGTTCAGCAATAGTGAATGAGTATTTTTGCAAAAGTAAAAGTATGAACAATTCGAAAAAGTGACATCTACTTTTAAAATGATTATCCCACCTGCATACTACACACTAATTGAGAATGGTGTATTATACATACTATATAATAACTGTCTTTGTATACTGTTTTTTCAGTTAGTTTACAAAACATCTACATATTTGAAGGTTTTGTACAGGAAATACACAATCATACTGCCAATTAAAAATACCAAAACACAAATAAAAATAAATATACAAGAAGTAAATTAAAAGTACACGTTGAATGTTTTGTCTGCATACTGACAATTCAGACAATTGATGTATTTACTACATACTCAACACCTGCTTAGATTGAATTTTGGAACAGGGACACAGAGATTGATTGCAAGCAGACTTCACCTCCACTACCCTTGATTCAATAATGAACTAAAACATTTTTATTTCCAGAGAGGGATCCAGTCAAAGTCTCTTAATAGATACTTCCTTGTATCGTCATACATGACAGACGTTTTACATCAAGACTGGGTGTGTTTGCTCTTTAAGTATTTGCTCACTGCCAAAAGTAAAACACAGTCAGGGATTCATGCAGATCTCTTGTGGAGCCAAACAGCTGTGACGCTTTATC